GTGTATTGATCTAGCTATACATAGATAGATAGAGACGCCAGACAGGAGTGGGTGAGGTTAAGAGGGGGGGGGGGGGTAGGGGTGGTAGGAGGGATGGGGGAAAGGAAGTGAGGGCATCCCCTTGTTCTCCTATCTCACAACGTATGATGTCTTATGGAAACCATGTCCTCTATTTAGTACGCTTCACGAGTAGCACTTTGTAGTCATCTTGCACTTAATATGTTTTGTTGTCCTCCCGTGATCTGAATTAAGCTCACCAGAGGATTTCACGTTAAGCCAAAATAAACCAGTTTACTTAGGTATTTAGATTTAATTTATGTTCCTACAAATATATATATTATGTATATATGCAACAAAGATCACCCTTTACGACCTGAACGTCTTGTGGGCATTTGCTTAATTTAGCAACATTAATGTAAGCAAGGTGGATTCCATTCGCAGTATAATACATGATTAGGTATATATGCCTCATTATTCGTCCTGAAGTGATCTGTTAAAAATGACGATGGTAGATTTGATCAGATTACTCAACTGGATATTAGTTTGTTAAACCTGATATTCATTCTTTAAGAAAGAGAAGTATTCATGGTTTTATATTCGATACGAATATACGATATAGAGTTTATTCATTCATTCATTTATGAATATAAAGTTAGAACCGAAACATCCTGAAGAAATAATTGCACAAAGTTATACAGATGGTCGAAGACTTTTCAGGGCTTTTAAACCTGCAACCCAAGTACTGCTACTGTTAAAGAAAGCAGAAAAATAAAAATTAGAGAAGCAAACTGATGAAAGTTTCAATTAAATCTGACTAAATATAAGGAAGTTATGAATTTGTGAAAGTTGTAATCACTATACGTATATATGGGCACTTCAAATTGGCTGAAGCGGTAATGTCAATGTGATGTAACGCCGGACTACTTTTCCATCTGTTCCAACAAATAAAATGACTAAAATATTTTTTTCTTCAAAAAGTCATGGCTCAGGAGGGTCTATTCTTTTTAGAGGACCTATGATAAAATGCTATCTATAATGTATTTTGAGTAGTTCCCAAAGGGAGAAGGAACTTTCGAAAAAACAGAAATTAGTGATATTTGTGTACACGGCAAAATAGTTATCCACGTCCTACGTCACGATCCACTGACCGACCTATCAATTTGAGATTTGCATAGACTTAGTGATCTCATAAACATTCATAACTCCCTTACTATTGGTCAGATTCATTTCAAACTTTTGCCATTCTGTTTCTGTTCATTATTCTGCATTAACTTATTACAAGGGTTGGATTGCTCTTTAATAATTAAGAAGGAAGTCATTTGTTACAGTTTCCAGCTGAATTTATTTTGAGATTATTATTATGTATAAAGCTAGACAAAATTAAGAGAATATAAAGAACAAAGAACACATGTATACATACAATCATGATGGGGCGGACATTCCTTTCAAAGGAAATAATTTGTCCAGTTATTGATCTATGCCAAATAAGAAAGACTGTACAATATAACATTATTGAAAGACAATTCATATATATATAAACACTGCAAAATACACAGAAGAATGTTTTTTTATAACTATATGTCTCTGACGAAAGACATAAACATATTTTCGTATCCTTTCTTCTGTTCTTATTAATATTATATGTATTTTCTCTGTATCTTGTTAAATGTATATTTTGTATTTTAAGCCATGTGAAATAAAATTTGAACTGAATCGGAAGAGTCGGAATAACCTTTAACATAATGTTTAAAACCAGTGACATTCTTCAATCCGGCCAGCTGTTCTGTGTGTGATTCTTGTCTAGGAGTACACCTACAATTTCCTGCACTTTGGATCATTGCTTGACTCATAATTGTAGGTTTAGACAACCAATTAAAAACTAGATCAACTCTAACTGTCAACGATTTAAAGGCTTTAAGTGAACCCATCATGAATCACTCACTTATATCATCAGAGCGATTAAAGTCTCTCAAAAGCAGACAGAATGCATGACGGGTAACACTGAACTTTTTAAATCTCCCTTTCTGCCCCTCCATACATAACTAACATTCTTTCTGTCTATCTTCTCTTTCAAAATGTTCAATTGCCATAATGTTAAAATTTATTCTCCCTTTCTCCCTCCCCGCATCGTTACCTCACATTCCTTAATCCATCTTAATTGTCAAAATGTTCATTGTCGAAATGTTCATTAAAAAATTATTGTCAATTGTTCATTAATTATTGAAATGTTCATTAATTGTCGAAATGTTCATTGATTGTCGAAATGGTGTTAAAAAGTTCCTCGATTGTGATGATTCGCCCTAGCTGTCTCCTTTGAGTTTACCAAAAATCATATGGTTCTTTTTAATTTCTGTCTGGTTATCACTAAGTTAGATGACGCTTAAAAACACTTTTGAGAATTATAAGAACTAGAAACTAACCATTGTGTGAAACTGTATTTCCCCTCGAAAGACCGGTTTACTAAGGGTGCGTTTATGCTTGATTTTGAAGGTAGAATGAGCGATCTGAAACGCTCATCGTAAACGCTCATCGTAATCGCAGTTCCACGGTGTACTGTTTATGCTCACTTCTCTGGCTCCTCCAGGCAAATCTGGATGGGTGGCCTTGCAGCTGGATTCGCAAACCTGCACTGCGCAAAGGACGCAACCGTGTTTTGAACTAAACGCGTGCCTGATTCTGGCCAGAAACAGTTGAGCATAAACATACCCTTACATATTTAAATTTATGAATGTTTCCTTCCTGGGAACCTATATAGTGTCGAGTTATTCCATTAACCTTTTAATAATGAATGGACTATAACACTCAAATCCAGTCTGCATACATTACTTGTTGCCATGTCGAGCAGGCCTTATTGGCAAGCTTTCGAGTTGTCAAGATCAACCGAAAAAATATGCATAACAATTTGAATATACTAGTAAACCGTTATATTGTCATGATTTCAGAGTCTTTCAAATTGGACTTCCAGCCACATTTCGCTAACTGACCATGCATATCATGCTGTAAGAATATCATACGTACTCTGTCCCATTTGCAGACCCAACAAATTATTATTATTATTATTATTGATTTATTCGGCAAAAACAAAGAAAATCATTGAATACAAACAAGAGTACATTTGTAAAAGAGTCTTTGAAAGATAATACTAATTCAGAACTTCCCTCAAAATTAAAGGGTTTGAAAATGTATTTTTGTGGGAAAATAACGACCGTTAGTTGTCGAATCGACTTTAGTGATCGCAATCATTTTTGTAACAGTCCGAGTTTCAGACCCTTGTACCCAATGGTCTTACGTTTTGTACTGCGCAGAGATTCAATCAATTTAATTTTGTCTATTACAAGATTATTGATGTAGACAAATGCTCAAGTACCCTTTACAGTTCATTTTATGTATGTTATTACCAAAGAAAAAAGTCAGTCAGTCACAATAGTGTCGGATAGTGAAGTCTAGCAAGTAAACGGGTTTCCTTGCATAAATTGAACATTAGGACACTGCTAACGTTTACATTTCACAGATAGGACATACGTGACATATTCATAATTCCTGCAAAGTTCTACAGAATTTGATGTTGGCTGCAAAAGGGACATAGTACCTTTAAAGCACTAAGCTCAAATGGAAAGGAATCACTCATTTTTGGCTTCCCTTTCTACTGATTCCTGTCCAACCCCCGCCTCGACTGACTTAAAGGGGCATGTTCCCCGTATTCCAGAGGGCGTTCAAAATACGTACGCGCTGGCGGACGGTGCTATAGCTGCCTATTGACACCAACAGATTACAGCTCTTTATACGCAGATGGCATGTTCCGCTAACTACACTGGCGGGAACGTGCCCCTTTAAAGAGAACGCTGAGTTCTGGTTAATGGTTTCCCAAAACACAAAAACGTCAAGTGTAAAAGGGGTATGAGTAGTTTAGTTGTTAACTCTAGACCCTACACATATTGTGTAATAGTGGTCTTCACTCTTTTTAGAGTCAAGTGGTTATCATGCAATTGCATGACCAGAATCCAACTTTACCTGTGTGTCAATCATAGACCATCTAACAAATTATGAATCACCGAAAGGGGTATTAACCTGTACCCCTTAACAGAGATTGCACCCCTGATCCTCTACCGCTTACCCCTCATTTGTCGCCTAAAACCCTCCTAAGCCACAGAGAGACTGCGATAATTCATGACTCTATCAAAACGTCTTGATATCATACTTGACAGTGATTTCCCGATTCCCTTTTCAAGAATTAGAATTAGTCCTGTCTGTCTCTTTAATAAATGAAAACCTTAGAGTTAGTCCTCTCTATCTCTTTAATAAATGAATAACTTAGGGTTAGTCCTCTCTGTCTCTTTAATAAATGAATAACTTAGAGTTAGTCCTGTCTGTCTCTTTAATAAATGAATACCTTAGAGTTAGTCCTGTCTGTCTCTTTAATAAATGAATACCTTAGAGTTAGTCCTGTCTGTTTCTTTAATAAATGAATACCTTAGAGTTAGTCCTCTCTATCTCTTTAATAAATGAATAACTTAGGGTTAGTCCTCTCTGTCTCTTTAATAAATGAATAACTTAGAGTTAGTCCTGTCTGTCTCTTTAATAAATGAATACCTTAGAGTTAGAGGCTGTTCACACCGGCAGAGATAGCGCGCGCTAGACCGCGCTATCTCTGCGGTTTGGAAGGTACAACGTCGTTTCGGTCCGCCCAACAGCGAGCCGCGGCGAGCCAAAACGGCGTGCCACTGGAGCACCTCTTGGGGGTGGTCCACGAGAGAGAGCGCGGTCTAGCGCGCGCTAGAAAAAAGGGGGTGCTACGATAGACCGCGCTATCTCATTGCGGTGTGAACAGCCTAATAGTCCTGTCTGTCTCTTTAATAAATGAATAACTTAGGGTTAGTCCTGTCTGTCTCCTTAATAAATGAGTAACTTAGAGTTAGTCCTGTCTGTCTCTTTAATAAATGAATAACTTAGAGTTAGTCCTGTATGTCTCTTTAATAAATGAATACCTTAGAGTTAGTCCTGTCTGTCTCTTTAATAAATGAATACCTTAGAGTTAGTCCTGTCTGTCTCTTTAATAAATGAATAACTTAGGGTTAGTCCTGTCTGTCTCTTTAATAAATGAATAACTTAGAGTTAGTCCTGTCTGTCTCTTTAATAAATGAATAACTTAGAGTTAGTCCTGTCTGTCTCTTTAATAAATGAATACCTTAGAGTTAGTCCTGTCTGTCTCTTTAATAAATGAATAACTTAGAGTTAGTCCTGTCTGTCTCTTTAATAAATGAATAACTTAGAGTTAGTCCTGTCTGTCTCTTTAATAAATGAATACCTTAGAGTTAGTCCTGTCTGTCTCTTTAATAAATGAATAACTTAGGGTTAGTCCTGTCTATCTCTTTAATAAATGAATAACTTAGAGTTAGTCCTGTCTGTCTCTTTAATAAATGAATAACTTAGGGTTAGTCCTCTCTGTCTCTTTAATAAATGAATAACTTAGAGTTAGTCCTGTCTGTCTCTTTAATAAATGAATACCTTAGAGTTAGTCCTCTCTATCTCTTTAATAAATGAATAACTTAGGGTTAGTCCTGTCTGTCTCTTTAATAAATGAATAACTTAGAGTTAGTCCTGTCTGTCTCTTTAATAAATGAATAACTTAGAGTTAGTCCTGTCTGTCTCTTTAATAAATGAATAACTTAGGGTTAGTCCTGTCTGTCTCTTTAATAAATGAATAACTTAGAGTTAGTCCTGTCTGTCTCTTTAATAAATGAATAACTTAGAGTTAGTCCTGTCTGTCTCTTTAATAAATGAATAACTTAGGGTTAGTCCTGTCTGTCTCTTTAATAAATGAATACCTTAGAGTTAGTCCTGTCTGTCTCTTTAATAAATGAATAACTTAGGGTTAGTCCTGTCTATCTCTTTAATAAATGAATAACTTAGAGTTAGTCCTGTCTGTCTCTTTAATAAATGAATAACTTAGGGTTAGTCCTCTCTGTCTCTTTAATAAATGAATAACTTAGAGTTAGTCCTGTCTGTCTCTTTAATAAATGAATACCTTAGAGTTAGTCCTCTCTATCTCTTTAATAAATGAATAACTTAGGGTTAGTCCTGTCTGTCTCTTTAATAAATGAATAACTTAGAGTTAGTCCTGTCTGTCTCTTTAATAAATGAATAACTTAGAGTTAGTCCTGTCTGTCTCTTTAATAAATGAATAACTTAGAGTTAGTCCTGTCTGTCTCTTTAATAAATGAATACCTTAGAGTTAGTCCTCTCTATCTCTTTAATAAATGAATAACTTAGAGTTAGTCCTGTCTGTCTCTTTAATAAATGAATAACTTAGGGTTAGTCCTGTCTGTCTCTTTAATAAATGAATAACTTAGAGTTAGTCCTGTCTGTCTCTGTAATAAATGAATGACTTAAAGCTAGTCCTGTCTGTCTCTTTAATAAATGAATAACCTTTATTGACCATAAAACATGCTACAGATAGTAGAATTTTAGTTCTGGATAAATGTTCCTTTCAGACAGACTGTATAAATATATATTCAGATAATTAAGTATCAGAATAAAGAAAACATCATTTATTAGAAAAAGTAGAAATTCGGTATATACTATAGATTGTTATCAAAGTGACTGAGGGCCTAATACGATCACTCTGATATAGTTTTATAACCGTCTTAGAATGTGTCTTTCAAGGCGAGGTCGCAAGGATAACGAGTCACTGATTAATACGCCTATGGGGAGGGTACATCAACATACAGATTAAGTTGATTTTTATAAACCTTGGCCCGTGTTCTAGGCAAAGTCAGATCCGGTTTTATCCGATTTCTGGAGAAGTATCAGCGTCATTACATTTATTTATTCATCTTTTTAAGCAGAATAATAATTTAAAAAAAACACAGTTACCGTATAAATCCAAAGACAATGCACAGTCATATCAATGCATTCTATTGCCAGATCTCAGTCAAACTCGGAACCAGTTTGATCCGATTTAGTCAGGAAGTATCTGCGTTATGTATCCGTGTAATCTAACCGCAATTTAAGTAAACCATTATCCGGCTAACTTGAACATATACATTCATATAAAGATAGATCATTCAGATCATTGAACTATCGGCACATTTCCCGTAAATTACGGACCCGGTTATGACCTGGTCGAAAAAAAGTCGACGTCATAAGGTTCTATTGACACAATTACATTTTGATCAATGAATAATCCGATAATATAGACCTCTCGACACACTTTCGAGTCAAAATTTGACACATAATTCGATCTGGTCCTCATTGTTTGCGATTCGTCAGATCTGTATACTTTGACCACTCCGCCATCACATCAAAGTCTGTGACTTGATTTGACTCTGTTGATCACCAACATTCAAAACGTCCTCCGTTCGTTTCTCAAAATAAATGTAGAATTGGAGTTCACCTACTAAACGTGGCACACACAGAACTATGAAAATATCGACCTTAAAATAATCTCCACATCATCGTAACAATCAAATTGAGTGTGACATCTATGCCGTCTCAATATTGTTGATAGTTCGCGTCTGCTAGCCATGCTAGCTGTCAATCATATTATGTTTCCGATGTCATTGTTTGAGTATTACTATATTATGGATGATACTAAGTCAATGTTAATCAATCTAAAATCAGCTTTTCTCTCGCGCATTCCGTTGGATCCAAATTGAACTCGTACCGCTTGTGTTCGGACATACCCATATCCAGAATGGTGATATCCGGGATCATGGTGCTAAAGTTCGGTTCCTCAAGCCCGTGATAACTATCATCCACCAGCCGCAGTTGATTCTTTCTACTCTTTCTCCTCTTCGACGACGCTTTCTTCTGGATCGCCGCCATCGACGGCGGGCGCGACGGCAGCGGTGGCGGATCGACTGACGGCACCTCTGGCGGGATTGTCAGGTCGATTTTCCGGACGAGATAGCCGTCGCCGATGGTCGAGAACCGAGGCATTGACGGCGACGCAGGAACGCCGGGGTTGGAGATGACTTCGACATGGTTGACGTCCTTGAGAATGATTCGCGGGTCGACGTGACGTGGGACCTTACGACGACGAGGCCACTTGCAGATGCAGATGGCGACGATGGTTACGATGAGAACGAGGACGATGAACACTGGTATGAACCAGATCCACGGTGACTGGGTGAGGATCATGATGGCATAGACTCAGGGTAGATGGCTATCAACATTTACAAACTCAAGTTTAGATCCAAGTATGTCGAGGAAAAGCGGTCAAATGCAGCCAAGCGCGATCAAGTACAACTGAAGGCCCAAATAACATCACTATCAGAAACAAGACCGAAGATCATAGCATTCATCCAAGTGCCATTTCGTCTTTCCAAAGGTGACAGGATTCCAACGGTCTTCCTCACGCTTGCCAAGTCTCAGAGGTCAGTCGTGAAGGAAAGTGAACGTAACAAACTTGATTTCAATTATCTATTTTCAGATCTCTCCACGTTCTCATCTAGAATCCAATACATTCCCGTGACTTTGCAGGACATCCCGTCTCATATAGCAGCCTTGATGGCTACGTTGTAACTGTGATCCTCTGCAGTTGCCCCTTCTTGTGAAATCCCTTAATTAGTCCTCATCAGCAAGCAGTCACTATGACGAAACACTTCCTGCAGATGAAAAGAGAGAAAAAAGAAAACAATCTCAATTAAAATGAGTTTTACTGTCAACACAACAATAATTTGTCAACGAAGACTCGATCGAGGAGATAAATATTCTTAAACAGGACAAGGGTTGAAAGTCACATTTTCATGAAAAATCGCTGTATTTTAGGCCTGCTAATCAGTCTTGATATATATATATTGACGAACCTATAGATCTTCTGTCATAAAATTAATTAACAAACCATAATATGTTGACGAAAACAGTCGTTCACTATATACAAAGCCAATGACATACCATGGAGTGTTGACAAACTACAATCGTAAATGAATGACGATGATGTTGTCGAACTACTGAAGAAAAGCTACTTTGAATTAAAGAAAACTACATGTACAGAGGTGTACAATAAAGAAGTACTGGATGAAAAACAGTCTATAAAACTGATACTCCGGAATCATGGACACGTTGTGGAAAATGAACAGTAAACGCGATTACCTATTTAGGAAATAAAGTTACTCTGAAATTATATGCTTGATACTCGATTATACTCCTAACACAAAAGGAAGCATAAAAAGTATGACGGCATTAATTCCCTGGAAGCAGCTTCTTGGCATGGCAGTCAAGTTTCGAAACCACTCCAGAATACAGAATACTTGGCAATCTAACTCCTGGTGAAATGCGATTCGAATATAATGTAGGTGTTACAAAAAAGAGAGCAACATGAAAAATAAAAGAATAGAAAACGTACAATTCAAACCAAAGTAAGCTGAAGGCTGAAGCTATGATGAAAAATGATATATTCTACAATGCCAAAATCATCCTGTTTAAACCGATCATTTTAATGCTGTACAGTATGTTCAAGGAGCTGTGATATATCCTTGGTATATTCAAGAACATTTATTAATAACTGATAATTTTGGAGTCTGCAAATGGTTGACAGTTCCCTTACGAAGGTTCATATAATTTCCTCGAAAATGCTCTCTGTCTTCTTAATTTCCTTTCCCTATGTTTTTCCTTGGAATTCGTCATCTTATTCTCTTGTTTTTAGTTCCTTCCTTGAGGTTCTATATTGTTAACTGCTTAAAATATAAATAAATATTTTAAGCGTTAGAATCACACTCTAGTCTGCCGTAAAGATGTTACTTGATATTAGATTCCTATTCTGACTTTAACTCATGCAATAAACTAACTTCAGAGAAGATAGTTGTACCGGTGTGCAGAGGGTTAACAGCGGATGTGCAAATGCGTGAATCAATTTCCCCCTTGATTCATGCCCGTCAAAGAATGCAAATTCAAGGTAGGGGGTCTTCAAAAGCGCGCCAAAAAGATAGTCTTTAGAGAAGATAATTCCCCGTAGTGCCAAAAATACTGCTGCGTTAGACAATGAATAATAATGAATTAGATTCTGCTCTTAAACGTTGGCATGATCTGTATGATTGTGTAAAGTCCTTCTAATTCGTCTTGTCAAGGTTCTTGCTCATCTTTCTGAATGTATTAATAAATAAAATGAATTATAGCTACATTCTTACTTGAACTGCTTTTCTATATTCCACATTATAGAGTCGACAAGGGGAACAATTGTGAATAGATTTCTAATTCTTCATGGTCATTGTGATGTTGTTTTTAAAAACATTTGTCATTGAGTGATTATGAATCGAATTAGAAACATAATCCTGTAACATAGCTAGAATTTGAAATGAGAGGCAATAAATTATATTTACGAAATAAAAATAATTTGTGTTTTGTTTTGTTTTTAAGTAATTTTCCTGAAATTAAGTTACGAATGGCCTGTGGCATTTGGCTCCACTGACCACACCCAGTCTTTCTTGACCACAGGAATCGCAATACTTTCAAAGTGTGAGAATATGAACAAGTTATCCATAAAGACAAAAGTAAACATGTAGGCCTACATAATAATAATAATAATATTTAGCTTTTATATAGCGCTCAATACAAATGTATCTAAGCGCTTTACAAATATACTATCACCCCGGTCATAATGTTTATACTACTTTTGCCATAATTTTGATTGTTTTATTGCCATACTATTTGTTCACGTAATAAAATAACAATTATTTACAACAATACTTGTATACAAAATTCATGTGATCGTATGATATACAGAATATGAAATAATACTAATATGACATAAATCATAAACGAATTAATTTCTAATTTCTTCTTCTTTTTGTACTCAAACATAATTGCATTAATAACCGTCACATATGCGAAAACGAAAAGAATTGTATCACACTTCAGAATAGCATTATAGCTCAAGTGAAATATGCATTGTATGATTTTGATATACAATATAACAACAACGCGATGTTTTGTTATAATAATGTAACAAAACATGACTGTGTTAACTGGAACTGTATCATTCCAATACACATTATAAGTCAGGTTCAATATTCAAGATAAAGTGAACTATGATTGTTTTAAAGACCGTCAATACTACTGGGCCAGAAGGGATTAGACCACACAGCGAGGTCACTGACAGTTGGCTATCGCATTAACTCAGCTCTCAACTAACATAAGGAATAGAGGATCATGTGGGACCAACAGGCACCGATCGGGGAAGTTTTCTATATAGAGGGAGCAAGTAGCTACAAATAGGACAGTGGGGCTTTAAATAAATGAGTCATCCAGATATCGATTTGTAATTTAAAAACATTGTCAATTGTAATAGACTAGTAATACTAAATGATGTACATGACTCTTACGACGGTTATTTCAAAGGCAATTCATAATATCGTTGCTGTTATACGATCAAATTGAAGCACCTCTTTAAAATGTCGAATGATATACGCAGCTGTTAACGATTGGCATATTCATTAGTCATAGTGGCTGGGACTCCAGGGGTCAAAAGTGGAGAATATTTATTTTTTCCAATAACTTGGGAGGGTGTATCTCTGCAAGACTTTACAGGATTTTCTCAGGGGGCCTGCCTAGGCCTCACGCTACGATTTATACACTGAGAAGTAAGAAAATCTAGATTGAGTGGTTTCTTGTTAACAGGGAGAGGATTACATGTATTTCAATGGATTCTTTCTTCCCCAGTATTTATTTCATATTTGATTGAAATAATATTTATCCACAGTTCTGTCCTCTTTAAAGGTACTATGTCCCATTTGCAGGCCCAAAAAATGAAAAAGTTAAATTCCAACTGCATTTGAAAGATAATTCCCTAAAAAAGGTGGGGCTTGAAAATGTCTTCAAGTGGGAAAATAACGACTATTAGTTGTCAAATCGACTTTAGGGCTATAGAGCCCAAAAGTAATAGTCTTGATTTTCAGACAATTGTACCGAATGGTCATAAATTTTATGCTGCGCAAAGATTCAATCATTTTTATCTTGGCCATCACAAGAAGTGGGTTATTGATGTAGACAAATGCTCATGTACCCTTTACAACTCTTTTCATGTATGTTATTACCAAAGAAGAAAAAAAGGCCAGTCAGTCACTCAATAGTGTCTGACAGTGAAGTCTAGCAAGTAAACGGCTTTCCTTGCATAATTTGAATATGAGGACACTGCTAACGTTTAAATTTCACAGATAGGACATACATGACATATTCTTCATTCCTGCAAAGTTCTACAGAATTTGAGGTTGGCTGCAAAAGGGACATAGTACCTTTAAACAGAAAACTTTATTCTTGGATCGAAAGACCTCATGAGATCTAAAGTTATCAAGTCTTGAGTTTCTTGTAGGTTTCTCCTTTCCATATTTACCTAGTGTGCAGGCACGAATAATTGGCAGTCGCTGTGTGTCACAGTATCTGTACTGTGAGACTAGGCTGACAGCACACTTCATAGGCTCTATGTACTTTAGCTGCTCCGGACAACGCAGCCAGAGACTGACAGAGCTAGGCTCTGCTCAAGGCTTTAGGAATTGCGATAATGTGTCAAATTAGAGTCTGCGCACGAATAATATTTTTTGTTTGCAATACATATTTTGTATTGATTTAGTACATCAGTATTTCTGTTGGTTTTAAGAATGATCATCGGTGTGAAGAACTCCCGACAAAATAATAGGAAGTAATAACTATCTAACAAGATGAATGAATGAATGGTGGTGGTTATTTTAGCTTGACGATGAGTACAACTTCCGCTGGAAATGACTTCAAAGTAACACACAGTATAGCTTGCATCCATCAAACAATGTAGAGCCCAAATATAGACATTTGGAGAACAATAAAGACACTTAGAGAGTGAAATTTCGCGGTTCCCTCGTAATTCAAATGGGAAATATTACATTGACATTGAACATGGGCTTGGGGGGGGGGGGGGAGGAGGAGCATAATGTTATGATAGAGGAAGAAGGATGCTGGTTTGTTGAAAGAAATCTGAAGCAGGTGATGGTATTTATTCCGGTTATATAACATATTATATCATGCATCAAAAATGTATTGGTTTTGATTGGTTGAGAGCTCGTCACGTGACCAGAAATATTTCAACTATTTTAAGGTTGCTCTGAAAAAAGTACTGTATATATGAGAGTACTATTTGGGAGTTAAAGAAAAAAAAATGATTTTGATTTGATTTGTTGTGGTTTTTTTTCTTCAAATCTTAATTTAATGAAAACAAAATATTTATATATTTTTCTAAATTCTAAACTTTATTTTTTCCCCCACAAAATTGTATTTTTTTGTTTTTTTTATAATAATGTTTTGATGTAGGATACAAAACAAATATACCATGCCTCCTATTCGAGGTACTGGTTAAAACTACGGGCGGCGGTGACTCCAAAAGTATTGGAGTCACCTCTTACGCATAGTTTTAACCAGAACCTCTCAAGACATTGTATATTTGTATACCCATCATAGACGGCGTGAATTAATATATTATATTTACACCACAGAGCATCGGAATCAATCATGTCACTTGAAGCTAATAATTTATAGTAGGCAATATAAATATAGTTCATTAAACAAAAACGGATTTAGTACTGTAGAGGCACAGTTCCGAGGACAAAAACAATCTGACATGCAGAAAGGTCAAACTTGGCATCAGAATTTTCAGGTGACTTTTGGCTATCAAAGTAGAACGGGGGCATATTTTCCCTTTGTGTTGTGCTTATAATTCTTTGGGGCGTTCTGTTGATAGCAAAACTAGTTCTCCCCTACGTGCCTTATGTGCAAGGGAGGGAGAGGGATGGGGCAAATGTACTTCCTACGGAGTCGTTCAAAGTGAAATGCAACCAACCATCCAATTAAACAAACAAACAAAGCTGGTGTGCAAAAAATCAAACTTATTAGGATACTTAGCTTGTTTGTAATGATTCAAACTGTTTTAGTGTACATAAGTCCTTCTTCTGCTCATGTAGGTTTATCATCTTATAGTTGGTGAACGATGATGTCACACGTATAGTCCCAAAGGACCTTACTTTATTGACAGTACAATAACAGATATGACAGGAGAGAGTTGAGGTGAGTTGATCAATTTAGAAAGTAGGTCGTTCGATTTCACCTTCTATTGTCATAGTTGTTAACTTATTAGACACAATGCAGTTTTGTTTTATTTTGTGTTGTTTGCTTTTTTTCTGGGGGTCGGGTGTTCTTGTTTTTACCTTGATAAGGGGTTCACGGGTAATGGCCATTATTGGGGGAGTGGGGAAAACAATGAAACTGTATTTCTTCTTTTTATTAAGGTACTGAACTTTATCCTATTCAATTATTTCGGTTTAGTACACTGCATAGAGGGTTTCATTTTTGATACCCCCCTCCCTTTAGATCTTACTTTTTATTCATTATCAATCTGCCGCCCTTTACATTATCTCATTGCAAAATCAATAAAAAACACCCAAATAGTTTGTATTTATGCGAAGAAAGCAAACACTTTTATTTATTGGTAATCCTCCAAACAAAGTAATGGTGGAATATCTACAGCAATAATGAAAAATGAGCCCTAGTAACTTTGCAGATAGCGAATGCGTGTGTCTTTATATATTGAATCACTGGATTTAGGAGTATGGAAGGGGTGTAAAGCAAAAGATAGACGAGTGGAGACGGAGGCGGGGGCGTCTTGAATGAATGATGGTCATTTACCTGACTGCTAAGAAAGCATAAATGCTTGTAAGTAAGCAACCAGACGGCCGACGGCTTTGGGTTCTCTCCGAGGGACCTGGTAATGAGGATTCATGCCTTACCAAAGGGCACTAGCGCATCGCCTTGGTTGCGAACCCCTGCTTGGATGTTGAATGCCACAGTTTGTGCATGGCTCAATTTTGAGGGTCGTTCATTAGGTCACAGTGAAGATTGAGTACTTGTAAAGGAGATAAGATCATACCTCATTTTTCTATTGTTTTGTTGGGGGAAGACCAACATTACTTTTTGCAGTCCCAATTTCGCGTTAACAAAATCTTAAATTCATTAATAAAAACAAACAAGAGAAAAAAGGGAGGTGGGGGAAGGGTTATTACTATAAAAGAAAGAATTCCCCTTTAACCCACAGTGTCAGAGATAGACTGCATGACCTGGAAACGAATGTAAAAATTCATCAGAGAAGTATTTGAACGTGGAGTCATTTGAACCTGCGACCTTTACTGCTATCCGGGCCACGACCATATACCAACAGGCCATTTCTGGTTCATGAAATAAATCCAAGTTCAGTCTCTGAAGACTACCTAAGTTAATAAAGATGTATTATAGATTCATGCATGTTCATGATTACAAAGGACCATTGAACACGATGTGAATACACTTTCGATCAATTTTTGACACTCCTTTCCCCTTCCCATCCCTCCTTTCATATACGCCCCCGGCCACCCCACTCCTTCTCCATCTTCCATCAATTCGTTTAGTCTCAAATGATTAATGAACATGATCCAGAAGATTTGAAGGCGCGAATTGAAGATTTAATAAGCAGAGGTAAGACTCTGTCATTAGCCGTAGGATTAGCAAGCTTTGGTGAGTTTCTGAGAGAAATATAAGGATCTTAAACCCATTTTCGTCGAAATCCAAAGCCCCGAAATTCATCATAGCGAAATGAATGTAATAATAATTCTGTACTTCATGCGAAGCGAGAGTCTACGCTAATAATTCGAAAAAGGTTATTTGGAGATTATGTTCTGAGACACAGCCTAGATTGAAGCTGAATGGTAATTCTTCGTGATTAGTTAAACGATGTGGAAAATCTCGATCGACCCACTTTTACAAATATTCAATATTATATGATGTCAAGTACAAGCTTGTCATCATAGTAAAAGTATACCTTAAATAGGAGGGTGAAGGGGCATTTCACTTATCATTTACGAAGTGTCTTTCACATAATAGTGACTTTCCTTAAACATAAAGTTGTAAAATGTCCCCCCCCTCCCCGATTTACTAACCGAGAAACATACACCAAAAGAAAATCGTTCGGTGTGCAAATGTAGGAGGGTGGAGAAAATATTCTTATTCTCATTTCTGCCTTCCAATTGTTTAATCCTAGTTGCGTCACGCCCCCCCCCCCCCCCCTCCCGGATAACTTAACCTCGACTCTATCCCTGGAGACACTGAGCTACACAGCATCCGGCTTCGGAGTTTAAGGGAAGCTATTATTATCGTGATGATTTAAATGGCAACCACCGATTACAATTTTTTTCCTTCTATACCCAGGCCTATGTTGGAGCGCCTTGAGGACCTTGCAAGGTCGATACGTGCGCTATATAAGAATCCAATATTATTATTATTATTATTATTATTATTATTATGTAGTTTAAAGGTGGCCACTGGCCAGTTTAGAATAGTAAGATGAATTGTTTCAATAATGTATAGTTTATTCGGGAGAAAAATAGTCAGTTGTGATAATTGAGAAGCGGAAGAATAGCTGTTCTTCTACTTCTTCTTTGGGTTGAGTCTACCTCCTTCACAGTAAGTGTTGAAGATCATTGCAGACTATTGAATTACGTTATACTTTTCATTCTTAAAATACGTTGTAATATTAAAGGTACTATGTCCCATTTGCAGGCCAAAAAATGAAAAGGTTAAATTCCAACGGCATTTGAAAGATAATACTAATTTAGAACTTCCCTAAAAAAAGGTGGGGCTTGAAAATGTCTTCAACTGGGAAAATAACGAATATTAGTTGTCAAATCGACTTAGGAGCTATAGAGCCAATAAGTAATAGTCTTGATTTTCAGACCATTGTACCGAATGGTCGTACGTTTTATGCTGCGCAAAGATTCAATCAGTTTAATTTCGGCCATCACAAGAAGTGGGTTATTGATGTAGACAAATACCCTTTACAGCTAATTTTATGTACATGTTATTACCAAAGAAGAAAAAAAGCCAGTCAGTCACAGAGTAGTGTCTGACAATGAAGTCTAGCAAGTAAACGGGTTTCCTTGCATAATATGAATATTATGACACTGCTAACGCTAAAGGGACATAGTACCTTTAATGTAATTAGGTGGAAAATATAATGAACATTTATGTGATTTAAGAAATAACAGTAGCAATAATAGAAGATGATGAAAATGTAATCTAGAGTATAAAAATAATGATATATTTAATATGAGGATGACAATTGCGATAAATAAAAAACAATTTTAATAATAAATTGATCAATCTTCAATTCTTGGAATGAAGTTGTTTTTAGGAAGAAAAAATGATTTACACTAATAATTTGTTATACACAAGATGGGCTGTTTTAACTTATTTAGACTACAATGTAAATTATAAAATACATAAGTTAAACATTGGGATAAAAGTTATTCATTTTTTCTTAGTGGAAGCAGGGCAAATTTCACTGAAATAATTTGAAGCGTCCATCGAGGCTTGCTTACACGACCTTGCTTGAAACGAAAGCGGAAGATCACGCGACCTTTCGTAGATTAGTCGTAGGGTTTTCGTAAAGACTAGTGTCGTGTAAATTGAACCAGAACATTTGCAGATGAGACCGAGAGGGATTTATTTCACAAACATTACCCCCGACATTTCGTAAATAAAGGGGTATGTATTCACAAAAGGTCGTGTTACGCGACCTCTCGACCCGTCACGACGAAACGATGATTCATTTAGCCTCCATCTATATCAAAGCGATGTAATCGCACCCCATTAAAGATATTACAAAGTTTTGGGAAATTTTGAAAAATTTACATTACATTTACAATTTTGATCTATTTGGAAACTCCTGTGGATGTATTAAAAACACTTGAATCTTTAGCCCTAAAACAATTCTGCTTTCGAGAAAAATTGAATATAAAGATTTACCGGTGCTCCCGGTAAATTTTGATAAATTTCAAATAGCTCCTACGGCCGTACAATGGTAGCTGCGACCATGAAAATCTCAGAATATGTAGTTGTGGTATATAATTTTCGAACAGAAATAGCTAATCGGTCAAATTTAGTCAAGAAACATTGTTTGATAGCTTAATTAGCATCTTGACCTTGAGAGGGAGCTATAAAACATAAAGTGTTTATTATTTACAATTTCATAACTTTAAACTCGATTTCAACCGCGACAACGATCACTGAATATTGTAGGATCGCATAAATTATGCTTCCAATATGTTCATTTAAACCAAATTCATGACCCCATACCAAAACTTTGTATTACCTTTAACAATTGCAATATCTTTGAAAGCCTTAAAGCTATATAGCCATATTCGTGCACAACGAATTAACACTACGGTTTTATTCAATTTCGATTACATTGTATTATAATTTTTTTTTCAAACGTCATATCATTAATTTTACCTTGGGGAACCATGAGAAAAATAATATGAATTGATACTTACATTATCGAAAGCGAAACGAAAGATGGTAGCAATGATTTTCGGAGATTTCTGCTATCACAAACTGGCAAAATCCCAACAAAAAATTCCTCTGAGCTTTTACTCTCAACTACAGCAAAACAGATCTTGAGACAACCAGATCAATTACAGTTAAGTAAGTACCTATTAAATGCATGTTAAGGTATCGGTTGATGGAAGTGATCGCAAAGATTTGTGCCTCTCGTCTGCAAGTTCCCGCGTGTGTAAGCTCCCTGCGAGTTAGAGGGTATGTGTCATGATCTCTTGTGCGCAGTACAAGATGGAATTAACAAGGAAACAGAGAGGAAGAATGAGAGGGAAATAGATCGTCTTAAAGGGTCGAGGAAGGGAGGCCCGGAGAGAGAGAGAGAGAGAGTGAGAGAGAGAGGAGAGAGGGGGTGAAAGGGAAGGGGCTTGTAACAAAATAGTACACATTCTACATTCAAATTAAAAATGTATTGATAATTATCCAAACAAATGGGGTCATTCTCAATTTGTGTTAAATGTCAGTGGATAACTAATGTCAAAATTATAGTGTAATAAGCATGATTGAGTTCAAAATGTCAAAAACTACAATAACCAGGAAAGTGCAAAAATTAACCTACTACCACGTGTTTCTTTTGAAATATAATACAGAGACGAAAATAAATTACACTACATTCTTTCCTTTCTTTTCCTTTTTATTTAGCGAGAAAAAGAAAGAAAAGAAGAAGAAAGGTAATTAAAAAAAGGCCCACAATGTGTTAGTTTATGCCCCCCCCCCCCTTTCTCCCCCCAAATAGGTATATGTGTTCAAACTCAGATTCGAATTCAATTTTGTTGCTTGTTCGTGTGTGTGGACAGGTTGAAACAGCAATAGAAATGGGGGGGGGGGGTGATGGGAGCTTGTTAGCAGCGGATCGAGAAGGTGAAGAGAGAGAGAGAGAGAGAGAGAGGGGGGGGGGGGGGGGTAAAGCTGCAGAGTAACCCCCTTCCCAACCCATCATTTCACAATAAGCTATGAAACCCAGCGGTTGTAAGTTAGCTTGAACTTTATTTTACATCCAAAAGGAGTACGTTCACTGGCATTACCTACTGCTGCATATATGTGTATCGAAGCCAACATGTACAATTCCTCATAAGAAGTTAGCATCTCCCTACGTGTCGTTTACAGGTCTTTTCAGGTCAAGCTAGCTGTATGGGCCCCTGTGAGAAACGGGAAATCCCCTCTGAGTCATGCAGCGCGCGCGAGCATCTATTGCGCATGCGTACATTGGGGAATCCCCGTTTCTCACTTGTAGGCCTACATGTATACGTTTATGTTGTACTTGTTCATAATTTTCATGGGCATGATTTGTTAGGTTTGTTAGGAAAATCAGGATACTTTTGGTTTAAATTGTAAAATATCATAACTATCTGACTTCTGGCTCTGCCACAGATTAGCAGCCAATATTAACCTAGGTAGCGCCTCCGCCTCCATAGCCTCATCTTAGGTAATACCGTTACTCGTTAGGCATACGGTACTAGCGCTAGCTGTGCCACCGATAGCGGAATAAGCCTACACTGGCGACAGCCGACTACAGTGCAAGGTAAGTTAAAGTCTGACTTTTATTTCATGCATCCTTTTTATGTAGCGTAGAGGCCTATGCGATGACTGGGATGAATTGAGAGGTTGAATAGCTTAAAGGGATCCGGTAACTTTGTCTTAGATTCTGAAACAAAATCCTGGATTTAATTAGCTCGTGCTGCAATGATTATAACCTTAGGCTTCAGGTCAGCGTCAGTGCAAAAACCCCATGACTTTTACAAGCCGAAGCCGATCGCCTGTCTGATTATCAAGATATTTATGATTGGAAATCGAAACCAAATTTTGCGTTTTCATAACACTACAGTCTATTGGGGAAAATGAGTATGGTAAAACTGGTCACTCACAGATTTTTACTTTTTTGAGGCACTTCTTGATCATTTTGGAGCGCAATTTTTTTTTAGGGCTTCAATATTACACCATATCACAGACACTGATAACATGTAGGGCCGTGCATCACAGATTTAACATTGTTAAACGATGCTTTTAAGGTAAGGAGAGGGGAGGGGAGGGAGGTGAGATTGAGATTGATAGAGAGAGAGAGAGAGAGAGAGAGAGAGAGAAGTGTTGATCAGATGATGATGAATATGAAGATGAAGATAATGATAATAATAATGATAATTATGAAAGTTATATTAATAATAAGAATGACCATACCAATAAAATGTAACGCAGGCAGGGTATCCAAACTTAAAACTGGTCACTTTTTTCAATCAACAGGAACTATCGTACAGAGTACAGAGAGGATGTCATCGCAGACATCAGAGGAGTTGGATGTCGCAAGGTGGTTTAAGGACGAGCTTCAATGTAACATCTGCAAGAACCTTCTCTCCAACCCCAGGTCTCTGAACTGCTTCCATCTCTTCTGTCTTGAATGCCTCGAGAAGCAAGTTTACAACCTTGAGCAAAATTGCGATGAAGCCTGTCGCAGTTTACGTTGCCCTTCATGTGATGGTGGGACAGCAGTGGACAGCTTGGAGAGTCTATCCAGACTTAAGACTGATGTGTCCGTTAAGCGGTTACTGGAGAGTTTACAAGGTCTGGGGCTGATCGGACACGATGGACTAAGTGAAAAATCATTTGGGTCTGGAGTGGGACTTGGACATTCCTTGATTACATCTTCAGATGTCACTTCGATTGATTCTGTTGAGTTTCCAAGCTTTGTCACATCCGTTGGTAGTGAGTCATCGATGTCTTTGAGTATGATGCTGTCAGGTGATTTGACAGCATCTTTACCGCGAGGCGACGGTGACATTGTCTGTGATCATGGAGTCACAAGCATATCAGGTGATTCCAAAAGTGATTCAATAGGATCACTTAGGTCATCAGGGTTTCAACGCAAATCCCCCATAGCGCCAAACCAAATCCAACTAAGACCTGACAGCTATGATTCTGATAACTTGAGCCTGGCTATCAGCAGTGAACGAAACACCGCAACTACCAAATCCACCACAGGAAACGACATGTTCTCCATGGGAACGTCATCAGGGCATCAGCGATCAGACGATGGTTCTGAAAATGAACCAGCTAACATCAAGATGGAGAGACGATGTCCAATGCATCTTCAGTACCTTTTGACTATTTATTGCTTGCAATGCAAGTTGGCCATCTGTAAGGAATGCAAGGAAGAAGAACATCATGGGCATGAGACTGGTGACCTCCCAGCTGAAGCGGATCGTCTAAGGTGTGAGCTAATAACGATGATTAAAGATGCGAATGAAGGAATAAGGACCGTCGGTAAGGCACAAAAGATATTACGTTCTCAACGAATATTTGACATACATTCATTAGCAAACCAACTAAATTTGTTAGAAGAGCAGATAAAGGCAAATGCTCAAGATATGATTGCACAAATTGAGAAGAATAAGGACATGCTTTTGGATGAAGTCAAGCGGCTCCGACAAGCCTCAAATGTTAAGGTGCTTAACACTCTTGAGGAGGATATGAGTACAGGAAGACGCATAGCAACCGTTGTTAAGCATCATGGGGATGCCGTTGATGTTGTAAACACATCAAGAGCTGTCTGCAAGAAGATGAAGAAAGCAACCGGTATATGTGCCAGCGGAGGGGCTATTGATAGAATCAGAGAACTCTCAGTTCGGTTTTCTGGTAACAGGGCTACAGACCTTGCAGTTGGACAACTCCAGGAGAACACCGAGTGGAAACTGTCCCATCAACTCCCTATCCCGTTTGACAAACGGGGTTGCATGCAGGGTATGGTATCGTTGCGGGATGGACGCTTGGCTGTAGGTTACGAAACGGGTGGTATTGATATCTTCAGCACCATTGAAAAACAAGATGGACCACCTTCCAGAATCCTTGAACATGTAGAGTTGGTAGATCTCGCTGCCACGTTAGTGGACACCATCATCGTGTACCCGATGTATGGTGAGATCAAAGAAGTGACACCTGATGGCGAGGAACGTCCAATCAGATTTGCTGCTCCCTCGTCTACGCAACATGTCTCCATGTCATCAGGCATTGATGGACGGATATTCTTAGGGTATGCTGAGCACAGCGAAATCCACCAGTTCCAACAAAGTGGAGGAAACCCTCTGAAGAGTATCTCGATGGATCATTGTCAACCTCAGCAGATTGATGTCACCTCATGTGGAAAGGTTGTGGTGAAGGACAGGTCTGGTGTCAAGGTTCTGGACCCAACTACCAATGCTACCACCGACATCTTCAAGGTCGACAAAACACAGTTCGCCTACTCCACTTGTGATATCAACGATGATGTCTATGTCGCCAAAGTTTCAGCTTTGGGGCGGGACAGCAAGGCATCTATAGATAAATACACCCTTGATGGATCACTTCTCGAACCTATCTCTAGAGATCTTCAGATGTCTAGGAACCTTTCAGGTGACTACTGGCTTCGACTTGTCTCATTGTCGCCTTTCAAGCTTGCTGTTTGTGATGGCTCATTGATATCCATCTACCAGAGACAACCAAGCGTGATTGGGCTAGCGAACGATCTTGGACTATGACTTAGATCAATGTACTTCAAGTGTATCAATTACCAGAAATTATTTTGCTCTGTACGATTATTATATTCATTGTTATAATTTACCTCTTCTGGATATGAATCTAGAAAAGACTTCATGACTCTAAGATTAGTTTTAGTATTAGTAAATCTAACTATATACCGGATTTCGGCACTACAGATGAATAGATATGTTGTTTCTTTAAAAAAGGAAAATGACCAATAATTACAAATTCAAGAAAAAATAATAATGATAATCATATGACTGAAAGAGTCACAAATTTTACAGGAACACATGCTTCTATTGTTTGGTTCTGTTTCTTATATACGTACTTACTTGGAATATACTTGGGTATAGAGACTGGAAGCTTAGTTTATTTGTCCTCTTTACTGTTGCATCCCGTCTCAAGTATGGTCTCAAGTATTCCGTAAGACTGAAGTTTACATATGAGCCGTTGATGTGGCACGCTGCCGAATGCTTTTCAATAATCCAGATAGACACAGTCTACATGATGACCCTGGTCAATGACATCTGTCCACTCCTCGCAAACTTCTAATAGCTGAGTCAAACAAGATCTTCCAGCCCGAAATCCATGTTGTTCATCACACATTAACTTGTTCTGTTCTAAATGATGTATGACATGCTTTCTTACTAGTTTCTCCATAGACTTGCATATAATGGATGTCAGACTCACAGGTCAGTAGTTGGCTGGGTCATTCTTCTTGACCTTCTTGAAGATTGGAACCACTGTTCCAAAATGTTTGTCAAAATTAATGATCCTAGTACAAAATTTTATTTAGGTTGAATGAGATCTGTGTTGATCTATACTCAACAGACATGAGAGGACCTACCCTATTGTCAAACAACACATTCTGCAAAATTATGATCGACTTGTGAATTTCCTCTTTATACTTGTATGAACAGAGACCTTAACAAAACACTCGACAAAGTATGATACAATTTAGATTGTGGAGTCACGCATGGCATGTCATTCTGACAATGATTGCATTATCGTTTCAAACAGTGTGTTTTGATAAAGGAAAAACTAATAACTTGGATTTAATTTCTCGTGAGAAATATGAAACTCAATTTTTTCAGAAAAAAAGTAATGCTTGTACTAGTTTTGGGAAAATAATGTATTTTCCTATTATGTAATTGTGATATATTTTAGTCATAAACGTTTTGAAATTATGAATTAATGAATTATGTTGTATTTTTGTTCGTTTATCATATTATAAAATAAGCTTAGTTATAATATGTTTGAAAACCATCTACCGGTATAGTTCACACTGTTCTGCAGATGCATGATCAAGGGAAACAGAAGGACAGAGGAAGAGAGAGTGAGTGAGTGAGTGAGTGAGAGAGAGAGAGAGATACATGTAGATAGAGGGAGAGAGAGATAGAGGGAGAGAGAGAGAGAGGGAGAGAGAGGGGGAAAGAGATGGAGAGAGAGAGAGTGGGAGAGAGAGAACAAAAGAGATAGAGAGAGACAGAGAGATAGAGGAAGTCAGAGAGAGAGGGAGTCAGAGAGAGAGAGAGAGAGAGAGGGAGACAGATAGAGGGAGAGAGAGAGAGAGAGAGAGGGGGGGGGGGGGGGAGAGAGAGGGAGAGAGTGATGACACACACATGTATGCAAGCATGGTCATAGCTTAACCCATAGAGTGTCCCCTTTTATTGACGTGTATTTTTTATCTTTGGATCCAGAAAATAAAAATGTATTACTTTTGCTGGCACAGAGCAATTATGTCAACAAATTCGTGTCCATTAATTACAACTTCAAAAACTCATAAACTACCGTACCTTATTTTCAATCAGATTTTGCTCAAATGTTTACCAATCTGTTTCTGTCTCTTTTAATGTTTATATATTTTGTTGTAACTAAATATCAGGGTCACAGGGTGGACTTCCCCAGTTTCCCTTTAAGTTTGGCAACCCAATTTTCTCCTTACACTTTTTTTAGAAGAAAGTCAGAGTAAAGCTGTGAAATTAAAGGAGATATAAATGTAGACTTCAGTCACTTCATGGTCATATTGTATAGATGTAATAAGAAAGGGGATAGAAATGGAGAGATTCACAAACATTACATGTCAACTTTTGGTAAACAAGTTTGAACCCAGGCAAAGTTAAGTTTGAAGTTTGATAATATTTATGTTATACCTATAACCCCTTCTGTGAAACCAAGGTTTTTGAATAATTATCTTTAGTGAACGAATTAAATGTTTTTAGGTAATATGCCTTTTTTCCCCTCGATATAATATATACATATGTACATAAAAGTTAAATAATAATAATTATAGTGTAGGTACATATTTCCGTTTCAAAAGAAAGAGATAGACATCATTTTCACCACTCTTTCTTTTTTATGGCATTTAAAGGGTATACTCATTGAATATTAATGAACTCAGTCAAGAAAATTTGTATAACTTAAGTTCAGGTAATATTGTAATCAAATGTGAGACCTGTATAGGCAGAGGTCACACATATACATTTCATCTTGATTCGATCACTACATATTAGCTGCACTATCCCTTTGCTTTCATATATGGGCTTTTATGTCTAAAAGTGCAAGATAGTCAAAGTCTGTAAAATAATGGATATTACTTCCTAGAATCTTTTAATAGGAATGAACCATATGTATTAATACCCAATAAAATGAATGCTTAATTGGTGTATATTAGTTATGCTGTTTTTGGCAGGTCTTAAGGAAGCATTGGGTTGTAAAGATACATACTAATAGAAGTATGCCCGATATTTAATGACAAGGTTTTAATGGCTTATTTTATTCGTAATTGAGTTTGCATTCATTTACATAGAAATTGTATGGTCCGTAATTTTCTGCTTTAGTACCGGTAATTAATAAAGAAAGATACGTATGTGGTTTTGAGAAAGGTGTATATATTTTGCAAGCACTTCACAGAAACAAAGAATTCCTTTATATGAGGGGGATTGCGAATTACTAAGCGCTTATGGTAATTGGTAAGCCCTTTATAAACATCGTTTTTATTATTATTATTATTATATGTACTTCCCAATGAATAATCCTTTTTCTTTAGGTATATTAATTTCTTTCAATTTTATCTCGGTAACAGAATATGAGCTCACTAGAATTCATGATGGACAAAAATACAGAATAATTTGATTTGTACAATTGAATTTTTAAATAAATGAGTTTTAAAAAAGTAAAATTTGCCAAGTCAGCTTATCTGTGAAGCATTGCATGTAGTCCAATCATGAATATCTCGATAATAAGGAGAGTTGTGCTCCAAGCTGCAAATTTACTATTTTTCTTTATTGTCCAAATCACTACTTTTTCTATGTTTTAGTTGTGTATTGTATAACCATACCGGTATTTCTTTTTGCATATGAGAGTTTTGAGACATTATGTTACAAAAAGTGGGAAATTATGTGTACAGATGTATGAACTTTCTGTAGAAGATGCCTTGATTTTTCTCCAATTTACTGTCATTAAGCAGTAGGGTACATGTATTTCACACAAACATGTTCACTTAACGGTATGCTATAAACATGATTAGGATGGACATGATGATACTGGAAATCTTGGTATAACAAATATTATGGGGCGCACTACAAATCTTGAAGCAAATACAGTGCAACATAAGATTTTTAAGAAAGGAAAAGAAGTTTTGTCATTAGTGAAGGTTTGTCATGACAGACTTTATCATACCAATATTACCCTGTAGTATAAGTAAATGTAAAGTGTATAGTAATGATTTAACACAAATATACTAAAATAAAATGCTCTGAATAAAGTGGTATAATTTTACATCACTTAATACTTCTTTGTACATATATTGTTTTATCATTAAAAATGTATGCTTTTTCATAATTTGATTTTGAATTCTCTGAAAACACAGAATAGCAGACACATCGGTGAAATTAACAATGTACAGACTTTATTTTTACAGTATTTATGGTGAAAGACGAAGTTAACTTATTTACAAAGATGATAGAAAACACCATTATAAAATGTATCTAGATGCTTACAATAAAGTATTGAACATGTTTTAACCTTAGAAAGGAGATTCAGTGGAAACAAAGACATTATGGGACCATGAAAATTACCTTGCTTTACCAGCTATGTTTTCATATCGGGGTAACAAAGCAATAGATTATAAAGAGCTGGGGCCAGCATAATTACCTCGATATATCAGAGTTTTTAATACAAAGTTTCAAACTGCTTGGAGAAATAAGGTGTGGTCTATACATGTACATTAATACCTCTCTAATCTCTACCATTATTCGAAAATCCCTGCGAAATATTTCATGTCCAGTTTCACTCTCCCTTATTTTATTTTTTTCAATGGCAAAAGAAATGAATATTGATTAATGTTGTCATTACAATCAAATTTTAAGAAAACTTTTAGATCATTCTTCAGTCTAGATGCAACTAAACATCTGTGAGATTCATAAACACATTCAAAATGTTCGTTGCAATAAGTTACATTTTACCTTCCATTAAACTGTACATTTCCTATCTCACTTCTTGGGACTACATGTAAATAGTAATACCTGTTCTTGCTAGATTTGTTTAAACAGACAGATCCACAAGTTACATTATCAGGGTATGGAATAAGCAATAAAGAAGAGAGAAATATAATAACCAAACTTGAAACATTTCTACCATGAGAAGAGGGAACCAAATCTATAATCAAAAGAAAGGCCAATTTAGCCATTTATTATTGAAACATTTATATGTAACTTGCTACTTAAAGGTACTATGTCCCATTTGCAGGCCAAAAAAATGAAAAGGTTAAATTCCAATGGCATTTGAAAGATAATACTAATTTATAACTCCCCTTAAAAAAAGGGGGCTTGAAAATGTCTTTAAGTGGGGAAAACACGACTATTAGTTGCAAAATCGACTTAGGAGCTATAGAGCCAATAAGTAAGAGTCTTGATTTTTAGACCATTGTACCGCATTGTTGTACCGCATTGTTGTACGTTTTATGCTGCACAAAGATTCAATCAGTTTAATCTTGGCCATCACAAGAAGTGGGTTATTGATGTAGACAAATGCTCATGTACCCTTTACAACTCTTGTCATGTATGTTATTACCAAAGAAGAAAAAAGGCCAGTCAGTCACTCAATAGTGCCTGACAGTGAAGTCTAGCAAGTAAACGGGTTTCCTTGCATAATTTGAATATTAGGACACTGCTAACGTTTAAATTTCACAGATAGGACATACATGACATATTCATAAATCCTGCAAAGTTCTACAGATTTAAGGTTGGCTGCAAAAGGGACATAATATCTTTAATGCAAAATTGTTTGAAGTTGTACCCATTTTTCGGCAATAATGCAGATATAATAAAAGAGCAAAGTTATTCTCGCATTATTCAAACTAACATGCAAGGTACGATATAAGTCAGTTGCTCACAAATACACCCTGTAATGGAAGTATCACAAAACATATGAGCAGTGAAGAAATGCAGGTAAGGATTTGCATTTGGAAAAATTCAGTACACAATCATCTATACCGCTTACAATCTCTACTCGAAATTGGTTTAATAGAGAAATGGATAAATTACAGGCTCCTCATTACCAATATTAAATGTAATACAAAGTTTTGGTATGGGGTCATAAATTTGGTTCAAATGAACATATTGGAAGCATATGTGATCCTACAATATTAAGTGATCGTTGTCGCGGTTGAAATTGAGTCTAAAGTTATGAAATTGTAAATAATAAACTCTTTATGTTGTATAGCTCCCTCTCAAGGTCAAGATATTAATTATGCTATATGGAATGTTTCTTGGTAATTATATATCACAACTACATATTCTGAGATTTTCAGGGTCGCAGCTACCATTCTACGGCCGTAGGCGCTAATTGAAATTAAATTTTTATATTCAATTTTTCTCGAAAGCAGAAGTGTTATAGGGGCTAAATTTTCTAATGCTTATAATACATCCACAGGGGCATCCAAATATATCAAAATTGTAAAGAATCACTATCCACCCAATTTTCAAAATTCACCAAAACTTAGTATAAAACCCCAAACTTTCGGTAGCCTAGCAGAGCTGGGGTAATATTGGAGTGCTTTGAGCACCCTGCAGAGTGGATATGTGCGCTATATAAATATCCAATATTATTATTATTATTTATTACCTTTAAAAGTTGAGGAAATACCTCTGGCTCATATTGTAATAAACAGTCTAAGGCGACTTAAAGAACACAAATTAGACCTTAGAACTTAGTCTTTGCAATTTGGCAGGCAGATCACAAAGAATGTCAGACTCGTCATATTTGACACATTAACCATGGTCATTTTCACATGCGAGAAATATATTTCTTGGCTTTAAAAAAATATTTTCATGGTATTTCTTACAAACTAGACTACATGTAATTTCTTCTTTTTTTAAATAGAAAAATAGACGAAAAATTGTTAAGGCTAAGGATTTGGAACAAAACATAGATGAAAAATATATTCAGAGTTGGAAATTCTGTGCAGTTTTAAAAGAAAATATACTTTTCTAACTGTTTTTCTGCTAGCTTCAGACTATTATATTTTGACTAGGGAGCTTAAAGCGTGAAACGATTCAGGACATTGCAGACTTGTACACTAGCTATGAGGCACATTATTTGTCAGTTCCCCTAAATATGTTGGGCTAACATTAAACAATTGTCTCTTATTTCTACACAATGCTACACTTTCTACAATCCCTAGTACAAGTACATAGAATTTAAATGCGAAAAGAAAATACGAAAGTGTAAAAAGACAATGGCCACTGAGCACCATTCCATTCTACAGGTTTATTTTTGGTGAAAAATAACAATCAAATTGTATGTTCAGAGCCAGAATGTTGTGTTAGATTATATAAGTTAACGCCCTTCTGGCTCCAAACAGACCAAATATTCATTTAAACTTCAATGCAGTTTGTAAATAATGGACTTGAAGGATTCTGAAAGACAACAGCGTCAAAGTCAAGTATACCGGTACCTTTAAAATGCATTATTACACTCAGAATGATTGATTGATTTCGCATACATTCCACCTCTAAATCAAATCTAATATGACAAAAAGTCTCAGTTGAAAGCAATTACGACAGCTGATCCTCACAGGTGTTTTCCACACACCAGAGCCCTCTTTAGTTCCCTCGCCGTTCTTCTCTATCTTTAGCCGCCTTCTTCATTGTGTCATATGTTCTATTACTTAACAAGTCTGACACCACCCCAATTCATGGTCTTCCTATTCCCTGTTTACCATCCATGTTCCCTTCTAAGATGTCCCTCAGCATGTTATCCCCCGTAAGATGTGTCCTATCAAGTTTTTTTTCCATCTCAAGATTGTTTTTCTCAAGTTCCTCTGTTCATTCACTCTTTCAATCACCATGATGACAGCCGGTAATGCATAGATTTTTTCTCCTCAATCACAAGATTTTGAACACTCTTATACTGGAGCTCTCAGATGAATTATCTTTGCAGGCTTCAATCTCTTCTCAATTCCTGGTTGAATTCAGAAACTGGAGCAATTGTTCCCTGTTCTTTTCACGCTGTGAAGTTAAACATAGCATAAAATTCATTATTAGGGACAAGAAAGTATTTTCCATACAAATAATTTGGTTGCAAAAGAATATTGAAAGTCCTTAGATTTACTATGTGTACCAATTAAATTTGATTTTAACCCTTTCTAGCCTGGGAGGGGGGCTTTAGAAGCCCCCCTGTTTATAGTTTAGGTATTTATTTTGGGGGTCAAAATAGTTGACTTATAGTTAGAAATGAAATAAACCAACATAAAAAATAAAATACATACATACATAAGTTAAAAAAACAAAGAAATACTTGAGAAACTATCAAAACAATAGAAAAGGAATAACCTGGCTCTTCCCAATTTTGTTGTTGTATTATTATCCCAAATGGTCTACAGAATATATACGGTATGTAATGAAAACTAATGTTTTAATATGAAGAATATATGATTTATGGGTTAATATGCGAATTGTATGACCTTAATTGCATAAATTACCATAAATATGCAAATGAGTGATTTTTTTTCCAAAAAAATGAAATCACCATAGTATACAAATATACACTGTCTTGAGAGGTTCTGGTTAAAACTATGCGCAAGAGGTGACTCCAATAGCAAATGGTACTTTTGGAGTCACTGAGGCCCATAGTTTAACCAGTACCTCGAATAGAAGGCATGGTATATTTGTTTTATATCCTGCATCAAAATTTATTTAAAAAAAAAAAACATTTTGGGGGAAAAAAAATTTAAAACAAAAAAAATGTCAATTTTTATATATTTAAAATATTTTGTTTTCATTAAATTAAGATTTGAAAAAAAAAATTGATTCAATTGGCTTCCAGGCTATGCAGTTTCAAAATAGCCCAGGTTGATAGGGTTAAGGGTAAATTTTAAATGAGACAAAGCTTATTCAAATGGTTCTGGGCAGCATGATAACTTATGTGAGAAAAGCTCATGCTGTGATATCACACAACATGTATTTTCATCAGATGAGTCTTGCCCTATAGCAAACAAAATGATCCATGTTGAAGGCTAGAGGCTAGGGCACCCTTTTACTTACCGCTTTATCCTGGCTAGTCTTTCTGACTTTCATTTTAATCTTCTGACCAGACACCACGCTCCTACCTACGTCTTTTTCATCGTTCAAGTACTGCAGTCATCACCGTCATCGCCAGTTCACACATAGGCAGACGAAACATGAACAGAGTGACAAATACGACTCCAAAAAAGAGAAAGAGAAAGGGAGCGACAGAATGAAAGAGGGTACAAAAGAAAAGAAAGCTATAAAGCGTAGTGTGAGATAGTAATAGGAAAGATAGTGAAGAGAGTGAAGAAAAACAGATTGAAATGCAAAGAATGGGAGGGGAGTACCAACAAAAAGAAAGTGTGAAAGAAAAAATATTGTTAGATCCTTTCAATGAATAAATATTTAAATAATATACAGTATGTTTATTATTGCATTGCTGATTACTCTATAAATCTCTTTAAAGGGACTTTGTAACATTGTTCAGATGAGAGATAGTGGTGCTAAGGTAGTGACTTCAATGCTAGATGTACAATTAAAGATAATCTGAAAATTTGAGTGAAAATGGATCATTATTCATGGTACAAATTGGGAAAAACTGATCTGATCGATTCCTTAATTCTCCCAACTATATTATTCTACTTCTATTCTGCTACTTGTCAAAGCCTGTTCAGCATCAAGACAAGGACAATTTAATTACATTTTAGGTGAATGTAAATCGTCACAAAGCAATAAAATGGCTCTACATTCCATTCCAGACAGTTAAGTGTTGACAGATTTTTATAGCCTGTTTTATGTATATATGTCATGGAAAAACGGTTGGGAAAATTCAAAAATGGTTGGGAGAATTTACTGTTAATCACTGTTAGAGGGTGCCTCACATCAACGCCTTCAAAGAAAACCATAGATATCTTTGTGGTTTGAGAATTTGTTCAGGATTTTTTGCGTGTCAGAGGGTTAGTATAGTAGAAGGAATATAGTAAGTAACATTTCATACAAAAATTAAGCAATTTTTTTCATCAACCTTCAACAATGTTACCGAGTCACTTTAAATATTCTACAAATAATACTACATGTATCTGTGGAATCCTGTTATGCAATTGAAGAGTTCATTCAAAGAGAATATTACTCAAGAAATGTATGTTGTTTTAAAATAACAACCTCAGGCATGGGTTCTTATTTGTTTTTATGCATGAACTTTAAAGAAATGTGCAATTTACCGGATTCAAATCATATCTAACAGGTACGTAGTACTGACAGATATTACTATCACTTCTATCATCAAGTATTTGGCATCATATATGCCTGGGAGGGGAAAATGAACTGAATTGCTGTAACTTTCAGGTCTCTCCTCCTGATGGTGATTGGAATGTGCAGGTGCACTACAGTACTACGCTGCAGTTCCCCCTACTCTTATTCAAATAGTACAGTGGTTTCTTAACATGCATACTTGGTGAATCTCCTACACATGGAACCTCCATTTAACGTTCAATCCAGGTGGTGGAGTGTTTTCCACTGTAACTTAGCCTCCATCTATGGAACAGAGGAGGGGCACGTACCCGCACAGGCGAGCTTCAAATATTGAATATAATAACATACTCACAGTGGATAACCTGACAGGGCTTCTGCTCTTCTTGGACGATTCCTTTTTCTTCTTCTTCTTCTTCTTCTTCATTTGTTTATGTTTCTGTGAAAGAAAAGTTACAGAGTCTACAAACAAGGGCAACCACATGGAAGTTACCTGGTAATTCTTTGCACAAACAAATTTTCAAGAACAAAGTGCATACCATCTATTTGGAGGGAAAGGGGCTTTTTAACTCATATACTTTGACAAAGAGTTAACACACTTCTGGCTCTGAACAGATGATATTATAATTATTGCAATTATATCATATCAATTTGAAAAGTATACAAATGAGATAAACATGTAACAAGAATGATCTATGACAACTTACTTTACAAACTCTTCTATCTACAAAAGCACTGCCAGTGAGCTCTTGATTGTCTGCATTCATGATGCACTGACTTTGGATACCTGGCATTCATAAAATGACTCATAATTTTGAATGCAGATAATTAGTTTTTGAATGACAGAAGCAGTCTAGTCCAAAATTCTCTCTCTCAGACATCTTATATCTGGACACGATAGCATTTATAGAGCAAGTACAAAATGACAGTCTAACATATAAATACCCTCAAATGAAAGAGCACTGTTTGTCCCATGCACAAGTTCCTGATGAGTGAATTGCATCACAAGAAGGACTCACATTACTGGACATTGGATGGAAGAATTTTTGTTGGTGTTCCAACAACAATCGGGTATTTTGTAAAGAAACTCATCACATGCGAGCAAGATTTAGCCAGACTGTGATTATGATTTTGATGGAGGCTTCATGTACCTCTCAACCAGAGATGTGTGAGCTCAGATTTATAATCGCTTCATAATGTTATTCATAAAGCTGCTTCTAATTTAAAATGAATATATTTTCACAACTACCAAATTTATTTGCTGCCACTCTCACACCCATGTATATATTTCAAATTAATACCTGGCAAGTAAATTGTCTGAATTATTCTTAATACTTTTTTGTATTCAATTTGGATATTTCTAGTTATATTGTTGTTGCTGTTGTTGTAATGTCATGTCTTATGTGTATTATCTTAAGAACCAATATTTGAATGATATTACAAGGTTAGAATTTTCGATATCACCTTCTGATGACATTGAAGCTGCTTCTAATTTAAAATGAATATATTTTCACAACTACCAAATTTATCAAGCAATTGAAGGATAGTGTTTTAAATGATAATGTTGTTATAAGGATAAACACTTCTCATGTATCCATGTTAATTGTAGAAGTCTTTCTAAGAATCATGAGAACTTGATTTCCTTTTTAAATTGTTTGGATATATTCAATTTGCAGTTATAGGCCTGACAGAGACATGGATTTCTAAATTCACACCAAGTCCAATGTTGAACATAGATAATTATAAATTTGTTGGTCAAGAACGGAAAAATAAAAGAGTACATTGTAGGTGGAGCTGGATTTTATATTCAAAATGATGTTAAATATACACATCTTTCAGAACTAGATATTATGAGTGTTACATGGAAGGTATGTTTTTTAGAATTGAAATTATGCAATACATCTATTTATGTCTCTTCTATTTATAGACCACCTGGTAAGTCTATTGATTTGTTTTTAAATTCATTAAGTACAATATTGGACAAAATAAAAATGTTTAGTAGGAAAATATATTTATTAGGTGACTTCAATATTGATTTGATGAAAGTGAATAAGAATCTACAGGTTAATACTTTCTTAGATACTTTAATGTCTTATTCTCTAAATGCTTTGATTCAATATCCAACAAGAGTCACAGATCACTATGCCACTCTCTTAGACAATATTTTTTACTAATGATGATAGAGTTCTCTTGTCAGGAGCATTGTATTTTGATATAAGTGATCACTTCCCAGTTTTTTGTTTAGGTAATTCCATTCTTGACTGTAAAAATAGTTATGAATCTGGGAAAAATTGTATCATTTCAGATCAAAACATTGCAAAATACAATTTTTGAATTAGACAAAAAATGATTGGAGACCTGATGGAAAAGATCCTAACAAAGGTTATTAGAAGTTTTTGATAACTTTTTACTTGTCTACAATTCATTTTTTCCAATCTTTTCTTTTTCTATAACCAAAAAGAATACAAATTGGATGACAAAGAAATATATAGATTAAATACATCTGTGCATAATTATTCCACAAGAAATTCTCGAAATATCCACATCCCACAGTGCAATACCTCCTTTTTTTTAAACAGCTTATTTTACCAAGGTCCGGAGATTTGGAATTCAATTCCCTCCAACATTCATAATAGCTCTTCAGTGTCTGTTTTCAGAAGGATACATAAAGTATTTTTATTATCTAAATATTAGATCTAATATTAAGCTCTTTTGTTAGTTGTTTTTTAGGTTAGGTAATGTATTTCTTATCTTATCTTGTATTCCTTTTTGATGTCTTTTTAATGTTACGTATTGTACATCTTGTCTTCTTAAAGGGTTGGCCTCTTACAAGGTTTGTTTCCTTTTTGGCCACTGCCTTCCTCACTTTTTATAATTCATTGTATGTATTGTCTTACATTTATCTGTTTATATATGTATTTTTATCTGTTGATCTCTTGAGGAGAAATAAATGAAACTGAAACTGAAACTGAGGCTTCTTTTCTTCCAGTCAAGATCTCAACACATCCAGTAGCTTAAACCTAGTTCACCCTGTCAAAAGCTTTCTCACAGGCCACAGAGCATACATGTACATTTACTTCTTTCTCTACTTCTAGACTTTGTTCACAAAGTTGTTCATAACTTTGTTCATAACAGCAATAGCCTCCTGAGTGCCTAGTCCAGCCAGAAACCCACACTGATCATAGCCCAAGAAAGTTTCTGTTTTCTTGGTTATTCTTTTTTGTGATAATTTGAAGTACAATCTTTGAAGCATGGCATATGAGGCTTTATATTGAAGGATTGGTTTGATACAATCTGCAAAATGTACCATTTGTTTAAATGTAGCTTCTCATAAGTACTATCAACAACATCTACTTGAACACTAACCTTTCCTTTTTTGTTCTCTTTCTGCTTCTTTCTCTTCTTCCGTCGTTCTGGAAAAAAAGGGATCAAATGACGGCAGCCATAATTTGATAGGAGTTTTTTAAAAATACAATCATGTGTATTTTACTGTACATATTGCATGTAACGTACAGCCTCGTACAAGATTACTGAAGGAAATGCAACAATATAAGTATCGATGAAAGTATTCACGAACTTCATGGATCTGAATTATTATGTACATCAAGAAAACACTCCATCTCCACATATATAATGCTTCTTTTGTATGGAAACATCCTAGAAAAAAATCAATTGCATAATCTCAGAAAAATATTAGATGAAATATTCACCAGCACAGAAAAAAAAAATGCTTAAATATTTACCAAGACTTGAATCACTTGATGAACTATCAGAGTCACTGCTCCCTGAATCTGAAGAGCTACTGCTACTACTGCTCTCTGATGACGAGTACTTCTTTTTCTTGATCTTCTTCATCCGGCTCTTTTTAGCTCCATTATCTCTTTGACGAGATGAAGAAGAAGACGAGGAAGATGAAGACCTACTAGAACTGCTTGATCTGTGTCTCTTTCTTTTCTTTTCCTTGAGTTTACTTCTTTCTCTTGAGTGACTTGCTTTCCTTTTCTCTGCTTGCCTGTTTCTTCCATGATCTCTGGAAGGTGAGTTTTCTCTGGAAGAGTCACTACTAGTCATCTCAGAAGAGGATGAGGAATACCGCTTTCCTTTGTGACCCATTATTGCTTCAAATTCCTTATACAGAAGGAAAACAAAAAGATAGAAGGAAAGATAATGATTTAAATATTACAAAATTAATTACAAAATACACTCTCAAATTATACATACCATTAGAGTTAACACTTTTGTTGTTGTTCCTTGAATCCCGGACTCCCTAGCTACGGTCACACTGGCTGAAAGAACTCAAATAGAGATGGATGGTAGCACTAAACTACAAATTTAGTTTGATACAAGTGTAAATGATGGTAATCGAAGAGTGCACCTACACTAACCTCACACAAATTAGACAAGGTGAAACAGAACACAGTTGCATACATGTACAAAGACAAGATATTGATTAAAAAAACAGGAAGCTTCTCAAAACATTTACCTTGGATGGTAAACAGCATAAACAAGTGGGAGAATAGTTGAGACTATATGAACAATCATGCCGTTTTTTAAATTTCAGATCATTCCACAATCCTAATTACTGTCCAACACCCTTGAAATGGGTCAAATAGACAGGTTAGGGTGCACTGATGTTGATTGTGCTGAGGGAGAGAGATCACAGGGTGGGAAAATTCTGTTACTGTATAAGGTACGTGTATTAAACAATCTGTGTTGGCTACAAGTGAGATAAAGCCATTTGTTGATGACTTTAGGATGTATTTTTCAATTGTCTTTCAGTCACAAGTCTGTAGCAATAGGAGTTATAGAAATGGTTTTGATGCTGAAAATGTGAACATCCTTTATCAACTTAACATATATTGAAAGGCGGCAAAGTCCCTCTCTTGTGACCAGCTAGTCCATGAAATTAGGAAAAGTGGCATTTGAAACATCAAATTGACTTTATGGAAAACACAGGTGTCTTCTTCTCACAATTTGCCCTTCCTGACAGATTTCCGACCAAGGAAACTAATAAAAGTTGTGATGGGAAAAAATGGTTGAGCAGAATTAGTATTTTTTGTGTTTAGGAAAAAAAATCAAGTAACCCTCTAGTATTGTATCGATTTTCAATATTGTGTACACTACAGTACTGGCGTGGCACTGTACAAACTCACCATAGCGCCACCATAGCTTAGTTTACTAAAATAAAAACAGATGTGATAGCTAGATGCCTGCAAAGTTAGCTATGGCATGCTACAACACAAACACAAACAGATTAACACCTAACTTGAAATCACAAATTTCCCAATTTTTGTTCCAGAAATGCATTATATTTGAGGTCAATTCAGAACACCAACACCAGCTTTCGACACCGAACTTGAAATCACTCATTCAGACTATTGTATGAAAAAGGGGACAGACTCTGTAACACTATCTGTTACAAACGTAGAAAAGGACCTAGGTGTCCTAGTAGATTCACAACTATCATTTAAAGATCACATTTCCCAAACAGTTCTCAAAGCGAATCGAGTACTTGGAGTTATCCGTAGGACATTTATGTACCTCAATACTGATACTATGCCGTTTTTGTTTAAAGGCCTCGTTAGGCCCATTTTAGAATATGGACAAGCCGCATGGTCCCCATACAGATTAGGAGAACAGAGAATGTTGGAGAGCGTACAAAGACGTGCAACAAAGATTATTCCTGGCCTTAGAAATTTAACATACCAGGAGCGCTTGACCAAACTCAAACTTCCAACTCTTGTTCACAGGCGTAAAAGGGGGGACATGATCGATGTGTATAAGTACGTGAATGGCTTGTACACTGTGCAAGAGATGCCCTTTAAGATGAGTACAGAAGTTCGAACTCGAGGTCACTCTAGAAAACTTGAAAAGAAATATTCAAGGCTAGATATAAGAAAATACTTTTTTAGCAATAGAGTCGTGGAACTGTGGAACGGTCTCCCAGAAAACGTTGTGGCAGCTGGGTCGGTAAACTCTTTTAAGAATAGACTTGATAGTCACTGGTCAAAGAGTGTACCAGTAAGCCTTCTGTATGAGCCGGTCTAGGTGTTGTCTATTGTCTCATGTTATTACACAACCTCCTCCCTCCACAAAATAGCAGTAATCACGGAAGAATCCTGGATCGATGAACAGGCTTAGACCTACAACATCGTGTTTTAAAGTAAGTAAGTAAGTAAGTAAAATCATACACCAGAAAAGCAAAGCCAAACTCGGCGTTCGACCTAGGCCTAATACATATCTGGATATGTGGGACTGTACAACAACCACAACAAAATGTCTCGACTTAGTCGAGTGGTATACAGTAACAACTTACATTACATTCATTTGTAAACAGAATTTTTTGAATAAATATTTTGTTTGGCTTTACAATATTTGGAGTCTAAATGTTACCTGGAAATGTGACAAAAGGGCCTAGCGCAAACAGGAGACCCGTGGCGTGGGACAGTTCAACCTCGCAACCTGTGCTGTCTGATGACGTCACAAGGTTATCTTTACTGTGTACGTGAACGTATCATATCAATTGACAATATATCTAATAAATACACACATTTGAGAAAATTCAAGCAAGAAAGTGCTTGTGAGAATGATAATTGTTACAATCGTACTCGACGCGCAAATAATAGGTTGCCTTAATTGAGACCGGATCTTATGATAACGTACGTAGGGCAATTAAGGCCACTCAAAAATTACTTTCAGCCAATCAAAACAAGTTTGACCAAAATTGGACGATAGAGAGTTATGAACTTTTAACAGTGGCGGATTCAGGGGGGGGGGGGGGGGGGGGGGCACAGGGAACCCGTGTCCCCTTCCCCGATAAAAAAAAAAGGGGGAAAGGGGAGAAAAGAAAAAGGCAAAAAAGAGGAAAGAGAGAAAAAGGGAGAGGAGAAAAAGGAGGGGAAAGGAAGAAAGGGGAAAAGAGAGGAGATTAAAAGGCGGAAAAGGAAGGGGGGGGCGGTGGAGAGAAAAGGGGGAAAAGGAGAATAATGAGAAGGGAAAAGAAAGAAAGGGGGATGATATCATAAGAACGGTGTTTGTTTTACCGGGTGAGGGGCGGCACGCAATTTTGCAGTGTGCATAATATGGGGTCCCTCTTGCCAGGCGTGTAGCCCCCCCCCCCCCCCCCAGCCTGATAATAAGTTGGTTTTAATAGAGGAGATATTTTTTTCTTTTTGGGGGTAATTATCCTCGGGGGGGGTAATTTTCCTATTAGGGGTAATTTTACGGGCGGTAATTGTCCTCGGGAGGTGATTGTCCTGGGGGGGGGGGGGTGGGGATAATTTTCCGGGGTTACGTAATTGCCCCTGGGGGATAAATGCCCCGGGGGTAATTTTCATCATGATCATCATTGTTATTATAATCTACAGTAATGAGGAGGAAACCTTGGAAGTATTATGCTTGTAATTAAGGTTCCCTTTACATAATACATTTTTGTACATAATATATAAAACAAAAAACAAAACAAAAGAACAAAAACGGGTGTGTGGTGCAGCCAGCCAACAATTCGTCGCTGTTTTCACGAAGTGACGGTAGTGAAAAAAAATTGCGTTCACTTTGCGTTACGATTTTCCTCACTACCGCCACTTCGTGAAAATAGGGACGAATTAGTGTTGATAATACCGATGGTCTCTATCATGATGACCTTAAACATTTTCATACTGGAGTAGAAGTTTATGTTTCAAGTGATATTTAAAAGTAATTAAACTTGGCAGCTGTTTGAGCGAAATGTCTAAGGAGTTCCAGTACACAGGACCAGTATAGTTCTCAGTTTGTGTAAGTGAAAAAAGGAAGACTGTCGGGTTGAATAATTATGAAGTTGTTGATTCTTTTGGAATGTCGACGTGATGGCATGAGGAAGTTCGTTAGAATTTAATCGAAACATAAAACAGCCTTAAAAAAAGAAATTATACAGGTCATGAACTTTCAATATTTTATTTTCTAAAAATAAACTATTAGTGTGGCTTAACCTATTAGTGTGACAGATTATTCGTATGACGCGTTTTTGAAGCATCAATAATTTGTCCAACTGGTAATTAAATGAATTCCCCCATGCAAGTATGCCATAGTTAAGATAAGGCAAGATAAGCGTCGAGTACAAACTTTTCAAAATATACTTAGGGAAAGACATTTTTAATTTATTGATTATTCCAATGTTCCTTAATAGAGTTTTACTCAAATGTAAGTTGTGTTCTTTCCAAGAAAGTTTATTGTCAATGATAAAACCAAGGAATTTTGACGAATCAACTAAGTTTATAATTGTTTCATTGATGTAAACATTGCCAGGTAATCCCGAAATAGAGTTGCTGAAGAGCATAGAGTAAAGGAGGGGGTTTTCGGCCACTTAAGACAAAATCCTATTTTTTGGACCCTTTACTTCCTATTTATTATCATTTCTTGTTCAAATCATGAAGCAAATATTATTATTATTTAAATAAAAAAAAGAATCCCAGAAAAAATTATTTAAGTTCAAGGAAAGTTTGTTGGCACAAATCCACTCTTCAACAAGTTTCATTTCAAGATTTACGGTTTCAAGTAGTGTATTGGGGTTTTATAAGAAGTGAGAAGGGGGAAGTGGCTCCCATTAAAAAGAAAAAGAGGCACATCTTAAAATAAACGGGGCACTTGTCAGAGATGAAAAGGGGGTAATTATGAGAAGAGGAAGGGGCACTTATAAGAAGGAAAATGAGCATTTATTAGGAAGGAAAGGGGGACGTGTCAAATAAAAGGGGAATTTATTAGATATGTAAAGAGCATTTATCAGGAGAGGAAGAGGCACTTGTCAAAGTAAAACGATTTTCTCTCAGAATTAAATAGGGTCATTTACAAGAGATGAAAAAGGGCATTTATGAAAAGTGGGCACTTATTAAAGGAAAGGGGGCGCATGGAAAAATATAAGGTGCGCTTATCCGAGTTAAAAAGGGTTAGTTATTGAAGGGGGAAGGGGCACTTCTTACAAGGCAAAAGGGGCACTTGTCAAAGAAAAAGGGGCACCTCTCAGATTTGAATAGGGTAATTATCAGAGGTGAAGAGGCGCTTATCAAAAGTGAAAAGGGGCACTTACTAGAGATTAAAAAGGGCACTTGTGAGAATGAAAAATGGACACTTATTGCAAAGGAACATGGGAACTTGTCGAAGGAAAATTGGTACGTGTCAAAATAAAAGGGGTACTTATCAGAGTCGGAAAGGGGAAGGTGCACTTTTTAAAAGTAATAGTGGCATTTGTCAAATTAAAAGGGGTACTTTTCCTATGTAAAAAGGGGCACTTCTTACAACGGTAAGGGACACTTTTCCTGTAAGAAGGGGCAATTTTGGGGTACTTCAAAAATTGGGGGGATGTGCCCCCCCGCCCCCCCCCCGGAGCGCCACCTCTGCACAGTCATATACTCCTCGACTGTGTTTTTTATTATGTATATGAAAGCTCAACATTTCGAGCAGTGCATGTGTTCGTTTCTCTTTTTTTCTTTTTTTTCCTATTCCTTTTTTAAAAAAATTCTTGAATATTCTAAATGTCATTAGATGTTAATTTTATGTAAGCATTCTTTCTTGTTTTGATTGAGTTTTGAAATAAAAATCATTTGAATTGAGTTGAAATTGAATTAAATTTGGTGCCAGATGACGCTATTCCAATTTGATTGTGTATCAACAGATAATTGATCACTTATTAATAATATTCATACTTCACAAATAGAGGAAATTAGTTTTCAACCAACTTTTAACAATACTATGGCGGCCCCGACCTCTATGGCGGAATCGTTCCTATTCTCAGCAAGGGAATTTAATTCTATACAATTTTTCATTACTAAGTCATAAACTCTGTCAGGATTTTCGTAAGATGCCAATTGATGTCAACAATTTCCGAGCAGTCAAAGTAATTAGGTCTTAACTTTATTTGCAAAAGGGCGGGGCACCTACAATTAATTTTACTGTTTGTTTCTTCAAAATATATGACTCTGATGGCGGTAAGTTAAAAAAAGACACAAGCGTTTATTGGACCATATTCAAGATTCAAGAGAAAAGTGAAGTGGTCAACTTTCATTGACGACTATTTACAATAGTTATATCGCCACTGTTACAATGTCTAATAGGCCTACTTATTAGTACTCTAACTCATATGATTTTATTTATTTATGTTCTTATATTTATCTCAATACATGAAACTAGTAAACTTAAAGGGCAATGGTTCATTAATCAATAAACACGGACTTTGTAAGAACTATGGAAGGTTCCCATTTGAGTTTAATTCAATTTCTTCTAATACGGCATCATGAGATGGGTGGTTCAGATCCCGAAGCATGAGGTTGTGCTAGTCCGTAATATTCTTTATTTCTCATTTATAAACTTCAGAACCAAAAATAAACCATCAAATTACAAAAGGGTATTTTGTGTTATGGACAGATCACAGTCATTATATTCATAAACAAATGCAGGCACGGATCCAGGATTTCTCAGGGGGGGGGGGGGGGATTTAAAATCATGCGAGCCAAATATCGGTACGTTATGGTTTCCAGCAGTGGTGTAATCAGCAAAAGCTTTTTTTTTTTTTTTTTTTTTTTTTTTTTTTTTTGGGGGGGGGGGGGGGGTCAGAAGATAAAAATCAGCATCATCACCACCACTTTTACCTGCAGGCCCCGCTGAACGTTTTTTTTTTAAGTGGGTGGGGGAGGATAAAGTATTTACGTTCAGATACAGCGTAGCGTAAATTGGCGTGGGATCTAGGGCAAACCCCGGTGGGGAATAAGGGGTGGAACCCCCGGAAGCTTAGGGGTATGGGCATTTAATTACGGTCAAATGAGCATATTTCGATACCTTATTCATGACACTGACAGGTCACTAATTGGCGTGAGGTCCAGGGGACGCAGCCCCCAGAAGCTCAAGAGTTTAAGGGATTAAATTACCGTCTGATGAGCATCCAGAGGCCCGCCTTAGAGCCCTGGGTGGGGACCAGGGATTTTTACGCATTTAATTACGGTCAGCTGACCATATTTTGATACTTTATTTGTGACACATGCAGGTCACTCTTTTTTCTTTCTTTCTATCTTTCTTTCTATTTCTCTTTAATATACCTTTTAAACAAAGAGGGGGAGGGAGGTCAAGCCCACTGAGCCCCACCGTTCTGCGGACCCTGGCATATTGGCCTCTTAATAAGCATATTTCTTGCCTGACTGTAAATTTTTGAATTTGTTATTTTCCAACAAATGCATACACAAATTTAGTGAACTAAAAAGCGAGGAAAAATCCCGAAAAATTATGTCATTTAAGCAAAATTTGTAAATCACTGGTATTGATTTCGAAATAAACCACGTTGGAAATTTTGTTGGGGTCAAATGCCCCAAGCCCTCCCCCCTTGCAGTATGCCAGGGTTGATCAGGTTCGTATTTGGCGCTTGGTCTCAATGACGAAAGAAGAAGCGATACAAATCGCAACTTATTTTCCCTTCTTTTCCCCTTTTCTTGTCTTCTTCCTTTTTATTTTCTTTCACTCTCTTTCCTCCTTCCCCTTCCCTTCCTATCCATTCTTTCTCTCTCTTTCTCTCTCTTTCTTTCTTTCTTTCTTTCTTTTGCTGAGGTGGGGGGGGGGGGGGGGAGGCAAGGGCATTTTGCCCCCCCCCCCCGATCCACGACTGGTCGGCGACGGATTTACGCCCCTGCCCCTCACAGTTTGTTGAAGTTTTGTTGTATTAAAAAATTACATTCCTTAGCAAAACTATAGTATAAAAACAAGCAATATACTTTTTTCACACTTTTTTCTAGGTATTTACTTGTACATTTTGAAGGATATTATGCGAGGGAGCATATACTTCCCGAGTGAGAAGATTTTTTGCATTTTTAGTTGTCTACACGCTGCACTCTCGGACCCTCCAGAGCCTTCAAGTGTGTTGCAGACTTTAGTCTGTATTTGCTATACATTTTTCTGTGTGCACTTTTTCAAATTTTGAGGGGGGGGGGGGGACGACCCCCCTAAAAAAATTGAGGGGGGACGTGTCCCCCCGTCCCCCCCCCCCCGGGATCGCCGCCCCTGGTGCTTTTATCCGACAAGTAACGATAATCGATACATTTGACGCTAAGCCACCTGACTAATATCATAATGAAATATATGAATATGCAATATGCATGTACTTACCGTAATTCCAAACATAATGATCCCAATAACAATGCAAGGCCACGGCGCCGCTATCTACACACGTGGAGCTGGAGTGTAAGGAACGAAAGGTAAGCATGCAGTGAAAAATGCGAATTGTGCTTGGAATGGAGTTGTTGATGAGGATCTAACCATGTAGATGTAAGAGTGAAGGTGTGATCTTGCAATCCATATCATGATGCGGTTATTTTGATTGTTTGCTTTTCCGTAAGAGAGAAATCGAAAGGAGAGCGCTTAAATACGCATTGCCATTATTGCATTAATGTCCCGAATGCTGGATTTGGTGTGGTGTAAACGGTTGATAACTTGCCCCGCCTCCATGGGCGCGGCGTGTCTTGAAAACCTCGGTGAAATACTCGTACAGAAGTTACGTTTTCTGTAGCTCCTCTGCAGCTCTGCTCTGCATTCTGGCTAACTTTAGAATAATTGGAACAACTGGAGAATATCCCGCATGCTGAGAGTTCTGGACCTAGCTAGCTTGGCTAATAAACAACAGCTTGGAAGTTGGAAACTAGTAAGTAAATAAAACTTAAAAGACAAGGTCACAAACATGAATTAGGCCTAGACTTTGATTATTTATTGCTTTGCCTCACAACACTACTAGATCTTGATCTATTTATAAAGGCAAAAACCAGAACCTAGAACTGAATAAATACTGATATCCGAACCCACAACTCCAACGTAATACGCTGTACTTACAGATAGTAGGGAGGTCAATGCCCAAATCTAACTTTTTAATTACTAATTTGTTTATACTAAAACTAAGATTAAAAGAAAGCATTTACTTTCACTAAGAAAATCCACCCATGGCCGACTCCAGAAGTTCCATCAAATAGGAGATATCCAGCTCTTTTTATCCAGCTTCCTTCTACGCCTTTCCGTACGTAATTAGAGCCTTGAAACTATTATATTTCATGTCGCAAAGTTACGTTCATAATTAGACAGGCCCGAGGGACAAAGTTCATGATGAAGTTTAAAACTTCGCGCGAAAGTGCAATCACTCAACAGCGGCTAGCCTTGAATCGGTCGCACACGTACACACCTTCTTCTTCTAATCTTAGTTGATCCCTCCACCGACACAGGCAAGCCCCGATGCAGGCTGAAGTCCAGCCATCAATGTGCGAACGATTACATCTTCTACTACTACGAGCCGAAGACGATGGTTCAAAAATGAAGAATAGATATCAAAATTGGCAGGAAAGAAATATATATAATTCATTGATATTTACCTTAGATGTGTATTCCAATAATTTGATTTCCTCATGAGTATTCCTTATTATCAACGATCGAGAAGTTACGAGGTCCAATTAACATCCATCTTGCAGCGAACACAATTATAGCGCACATCCATGCATGCAACGTACGTGTACTAATATTTCTCTCACTCTCTCCCTCTCTCTCTCTCCCTTTCGCTATACGTAACATACACACTCACTAACCATGTATCATACAACACACACCTTCAAATCATGGCTTTCATTTCAATTCTCAATTGGAGTATAGACTGCTCACGTAGGCTTTTTTTTTACTGAAATATCTTTTTTAACACTTCTCATACATCACTGCACGACACTCGTATCTAGTGCTGTGAGAATAAGGTACTAGGGTCTATAAATAAGACTACGCTTTGCGCACGATCTGACCGGAGCTCAGATTATGTCGCAATACCCTTTATTTTTGGCGCGAACAATGACGTCACTGTTCACTGTTTTCCTTCTCATTTTGAGATGGATGTAGCTATAGGGCTCAAACCAACGCAAGATTGACAGAAACATCGTACTCTATCTACTTTCGAATGTTCAGTTTGTAAAAATCTGTATTTAAAAAGATATAATCTTTTTTCTTTATATTTTCTAGTTGTTAGAAGTGGCAATTGTGAACATCTGAAATGTTGATCTCTATCAAAAGTTCTTTACTCAAAACGGATCCCATATTTTTAGGGTCTACCTTCTGCCAATGAGAAGGTTTTTAGTGAGCAAACCTCTACGCCCTCTAGGATTTTCTTAGTCGGTGGTGCGAGTGCGTCAAGGTCGTCTGCAACCACAATTATTGGATTAAAAAACGTCAAAATCTGCAAGATTGTCAACAAATGGTGAAAGACTGTTACAGATCCGTGATAGGTATGTTGTGAAATGTATTTGTAATTTCTTTTCTTATTTTCTTCATTTTTATTTTTACATCATTTTTTTCCCTTTGCTAATTTTTTGAAGTGGGCGACGAGCGCACAAATCGTAGGTGTAGAAGCCTTACGCCCGGGTATTGGCCTCCCTACAGATTGAGCTAAGCTAATGATGGGTTGATGAAAGGCTGGTTTGCATGATGATTATTGTAACCCTGACAATAGGGTGTCTGATCGCGCACCCGATGTTGTGTGCTAAAATTCTTCCCATAGAGATTGCATGCACCCTTATCCAGTCTACGTACGTGCATTGCGCGACCATGCAAAATTGGTCAATTTTTTTTTCTTCAAATCAAGATTCAAACCTTCTTTGTGATCCTGAAGGTGATACTCAAAAAAATGATTTTTGATTTTTTTTTGCCACCACCATACCACAGGAGCAGTATCCCAAGTCCATCGCCGAAAACGCATGCAATTTTATTTCGAGTTCCAGTTGAAGGCGCCGATTTAATAATAATAATAACGGTAAACAATGCTGTTTTAAAAACCAAAGATGGCAGAATAATCCATTTTCCTCCGAGTCCAAACAGAAATCTGGACATTTGGTCCAAGTTTCTGAGTGGTGAGTTTGACAGTGCTTGAGTTGGGAAACATTTTTTTTTTAATGACAAAAAATTTCAAGTTTTTGGCTATCAAATGCTTCATGGCTGGGATTATTTTGTCATGTGGAGTTGTTGTAGACCATGTTTGTTGATATTTAGTGCCTTTTCTTGACTTTGAAATGAATAATATTGGTCTAAGAGAAGAGGCAAAACATGCGGGCCACCATCTTGGATTATAATGTTGGCATGCTTTATAATCCAAGATGGCGGCCTGCATGTTTTGCCTCTTCTCTTAGACCAATATTATTAATTTCGAAGTCGTGAAAAAGCACTAAATATCAACAAACATGGTCTACAACAGGCCTTCTCAACTGGCGGCGCGCGCGCCACTTGTGGCGCTTGCGGTCGGTTGGAGTGGCGCGCGACTGTTGCAACAAAAAAAACAAAAAACAGAAAGAAATATATTTTTTAGAATTAAATACTCAGCTAAATCAAGAAGTTGCTATCGAATTCGAACCCAAAATGCCTGTTTAACAAACAGGAAAGAAGGGAAATTTATCGTTTTTTACCATTTTATACGACTCTAAACCTAATTTCTCTGAAAAACAGTTAGCTTACGATGGGCTATCAATTGTAACATTGCCAATCTCAGGAAACGTCTTGTTTTTGTTTGTTTGATTTTCACTTTATTTTGACATTTCCCGTGTTTATTGCACCCCAAAAAACTACATATAAATTTACCTCCAGTGTAATTGTACCCAGGAATTGTACAATATGAAATTAGGATTGATTATATTGTGGAATGAAATGGTGTTAAAAATGCCCCATTTGGGCCTTTAGATCGAAAGCCCTAAAATCCACCAGCTTCAGAGGGCTCCGCCCCCTGCTACCCCCCGTTGGGGCTTAACCCCTTGACCCCATCGCAGCACAGTCAAACATACAGGGTGGCACTTCAACTACAAATTCTTTACGTTTTGGCACTTCTAATAAACTAGTTGAGAAGGCCTGGTCTACAACAACTCCACATGACAAAATAATCCCAGTTATGAATCTTTTAAAAGCATTTGATAGCCCAAAACCTGAAAATTTTCGGGATTAAAGAAAAAAAAATGCTGCAGATTTTTTTCGATCATTTTTATTGATCGGCGATCGGAAATTATTATCCGATCACCCCTGATTGGCTCAAGATCGGCCTCCGATCCGATCATCTGTTACAGGCCTAGTTTATGTACATGAACATTCAAGACCTAGGGTTGGAGTTAGGAATAGGGTTAGGGTTGGGATTAGAGTTAGGGTTAGAACTTGTCAGTAGGGGGGCTTGTCCGAGAATAAGGATCGTTTGATTTGCCTTGCCAAGTAACTGCAACTGTTTTACACTTTGTGTTCTTCTTACAGACTTTCTCTTTAGTCTAGAGCAACTTATGCAGATAAACGAAAGACAGGAATCTGTTACCAAGAGAATGATAGAGGTCTAACATGGCCTCAATAAGTCAGACTTCAACCAATCAGTCGGGCCCGCAAATGGATATGAACCCCAGAGGTGAGAAACTTTTCCATATTTTATTTTTATGTGTGCAACAGTCGGAGTTTGTACAGGCAGTTCAAAAAGGAGCTAGAAGGCCGGTACTCATCTGGAAGAAGAAGAAGAAGAAGAAGAAGAGGAAGAGGAAGAGGAAGAGGAAGAGGAAGAGGAAGAGGAAGAGGAAGAGGAAGAGGAAGAGGAAGAGGAAGAGGAAGAGGAAGAGGAAGAGGAAGAGGAAGAGGAAGAGGAAGAGGAAGAGGAAGAGGAAGAGGAAGAGGAAGAGGAAGAGGAAGAGGAAGAGGAAGAGGAAGAGGAAGAGGAAGAATGCATACATGGTATGTAAAGTATGTATAGATGGATGGATGAATGGATGAGGTGGACGCATTTTAGCTGCTCTACTTTTGACTATTTTTTTATTCCGCTGTTGTTATTGCATTTCTTCAATCTTGTCTTGCCTTCTTAATCTTTCCTCTTTCTTTCTTGCTTTATATTTTGCATGTTTTCTCATTTTCATTGTCTTTCTTTTCTCCATTGTTTGACCTTGTAATGCTTGTTTCATTCCTACTTTTTATCTTCTCTCTTTCAGTCATTCTATATTACAACGAGAGGGTTTTACATATTTGAGTTATTATTCCTCTCAGCTCACACAACACACGGTTACTCAAACCAGCAAAATATTAATGAAAAACAACTAAGATTTACCCATGATTTGGATCTTCCATTCATTAACTCATTGAATGTGCATGTGCATACATTTACATAATCATGAATATGATTATAATAGTCAAGAATGTTAACACTACTTTCTATCAGTCATTCTAGTTTTCATTTGTTGTTTATTCATTTTTTAAAGTCTTTTTTTCTTGCCTCCTTTCATTTACTTGAGCCCTCATTTATTTTTTCTCTCATTTCTGTATGAAGCTCATAAGGTAACATCGTTCAAGACATTGTTTTCTCTTTTCAAATACAGTAGATCATGCATGTTACATATTTCTTAATTAAGTTCCTTATGACTACATTCTACAGCAATCAACGTGGGTGCATTCGCAGTCGCCCGAGCCGACGAGATCAACACCATGATGCGGTCGATCTCGACGATGGGTTCGGTTCAGCGGACGTTCCAGAAGCTCCCCCGTCACATACAGAGGCGAGCCATGAGCCACAATATCAAAAGGATGCCCCGTCGCCTCAGAGATATTGCAAGGATTGAGGTACAGTGGAACCCAGTGTGGAGTCTTGCGGGTAGTCCAACATCTGGGGGGAGTTTCACAAAGATTCTAAGTTGAACTTATCTCTAAGTTGGACTTAACAATTAAGTTTTAACTATGAGTTAAGTACGACTTGGGGTCTTTGTGAAACACCCCCTGTTCCTGTAGCAATTACTCCAGGCTCGATTTCTTCAAAGGGTTACATGGTTGGAGTTGCAGTAGGGTTTTAGGTTAGGTTTAGAGTTACAGTTAGGAATAACCCTGTAAGGGGCTCTGATCGGATTGGAAGATCGAAGCGACACCCTCGCACCTTTGATCGGTATCGGTTTCGAAGATCGACCCAAAAAATTGGCTGATTTTTTTTTTTTTTTTTTTTTTAATGGCGAAAATTTTCAAGTTTTTGGCTATCAAATGCTCAAAAAAAATTCATGGCTGGGATTATTTTTTCATTTGGAGTTGTTGTAGACCATGTTTGTTGATATTTAGTACCTTTTCATGACTTTGAAATTAATAATATTGGTCTAAGAGCAGAGGCAAAACATGCGGACCGCCATCTTGGATTATAATGTAGGTACGCATTATAATCCAAGATGGCGGCCCGCATGTTTTGGTCTACAACAACTCCACATGACAAAATAATCCCAGCCATTAATTTTTTTGAGCATTTGATAGCCAAAAACTTGAATATTTTCGGCATTTAAAAAAAAAAAAAATTCTGCCGATCATTTAAATAGATCGGCGATCAGAAATTATTATCCGATCAGAAATTATTATCCGATCACCCCTGAAAGGATTGGTATCGGCGTCAGATCCGATGATCGTTTACAGGGTTAGTTAGGAACAGTGTTGGGTCCAGGGCTGAAGCAGGGAGGTAATAAAGAACGAGGGGAAACTCTTGTAATTTATTCAAACGCTTGTGTGAGTTCTAAAGCGTAACAATGGGTTGTGTGACATTCCACTTGCCTTTGAAGTTCCATGCTCCGAGCCCCTCTTCCACTACAGGGAATTTCGGAGGCCAGGCACCAGTTTCACATTTACGGTATTATAAAATATTAAAGGAAACCAAAACCTTCATACTAAGTTACTTTTATTGTAAAGTTTAAGATATTTGAAAAATATCAGTGAAAATTTGTACAAAATCGGGCAAGGAATAAGGAAGTAAGAGCTTTTTGAAATGACTAGTCACTAGAGGGGGGTATTCAATTTGATGACATCATCTGTGGACAACTCTCCGTGCCTTTTGTACATCAAATTTCATGTTTTTCCTTCTTTCTTGTGATTGAGATAATGTACTCCCCTGAAAGCAAGATATAGAATGCAAAATTATATACTTCACATGTTATGAAGTCGGATCAAGAACACAAATAAATACAAAGAAAACAAAAAAATTGTGAAATTTTATGTGCAAAAAGGAATGGAGAGTTGTTCACAGATGATGTCATCAAATTGAATACCGCCCTCTAGTGACTAGTCATTTCAAAATGCTCTAACTTTCTTATTCCTTGCCCGATTTTGTTCGAATTTTCACTGATTTTATTCAAATCTTTTAAACTTTACAATAAAAGTAACTTAGTATGAAGGTTTTGGTTTCCTTTAGATTACCGGCAAAATTACAGTGTTAATTATAAACTTTATATGGGGATTGTATTGGGAATAGTGCATCAATTTTTTTTCAAATTTAGTACTCCTCCCTTCCTATAATTTGTGTGCCAGAGTTGGTAAACAAAATATAAGATCCTGACAAAAATTCAATATTTTAGGATAATGCGCTAATTTGTGCATGATTAAACAACCTGTTATTTCATCCATGATGTACAATCTTCGATAACTTTAAGTTTGCAATGGAAATTGAAGCTAAGTAATTGTTGCAGGAGCAAGTGTAACACAACCATCTTGGGAGAAGAATCATTGTGACAAGTGCAAATATGCATTTGGTGGTACATTGTAGTAGGTTATTAAAGGGATCCAGTAACTTTGTCTCAGATTCTGAAATAAAATTCTGGATTTAGCTCATGATGCAATGATAATTATAGACCTTCAGGTCAGTCATGAACCCCATGACTTTTACAAGCCGATCGCCTCTCTGATTATCAAGATATTTATGATTGGAATTACAAATTTTGAAAACCGTTCGCCTGACGGTTTTCATAACACTACAGTCTATTGGGGAAAACGAGTATGGTAAAACCGATCACTCAAAGATTTTTACTTTTTTGAGGCACTTCTTGATCATTTTGAAGCGCAATTTTTTTAGGGCTACAATATTACACCATATCACAGACACTGATAACACGTAGGGCCGTGTATCTCAGATTTACCACTGTTAAACGATCCCTTTAAAGTAATAGGAGCAAAGATAATAAGGTTATTTTTCTCATTAACTTATTATACCAGTCTTGTCAACATTGAAATCATCCTCAATGATTCAAGAAATATTCAATTCTAATATGTTGTAAGGAAGAGATGCAATGCAAAGCAGAAAAGTAATGGCAGTTGAAGAAGTTGCCTTGAAAATTTAATATTTTAACAAGAATTAGGAGAGTGATGGGTCAGAATTGTCTGAATAATGCCATTGCATGATTCCTAGAGTGATACGATAGCAATTTAAAATATATTTGATTACCGGTAGTGTTAAATCAGAAAATTTGTGACATGTAATTTTTATTAACTAATATCAAGAGATTTTCAGGACATTAAACTTGCTAATTACATAATAAGCCTGAAAATTGAATCTTCACAACTCCTGAAATCTATGAAAGTCTTTGGTTCTTGAGTAATCTTATTAACACAAATCTTTGTTGAGAGTAGTTGTCTTTTGAATCATGTTTTGGCTGGTGCATTTCATAGGTGGAGAAAAATCCCCAAAAGAAACCCAAATCTGATGCTGATGGAGCTGCGAAAAAGTCACGTCGCCATCGCAGACGGCCTGGCAATCTTCGCGAGGAGTATGCAAAGCGGCAGATGAGGAATCGGTGGCTTGAGACGCACATCTGGCATGCCAAGCGTTTCAAGATGGTGGAACGGTGGGGATGGAAGATTCCTCTTCATCCGTCGGATAAGAGTGCTAGAGCTGCGTACAGGTAAAAGAAAAAACTCTTACTGTTCCTCTGTACCCTCTCTATGACATAATAGTTTCCATACTGTATTCAAAGTGAAATTTGACTGTATATTTTGCAATGTTATTCACATTTTATTTTATTCATACATGACACCTTTAATATCCAGACTCTAATATTCAGACTCTTTGTATGTTAAATAAATTTTTACGTCTAATTGATATAACCTGTTTGAATTTCACTAATGTTGAAATTCACATGGATTGAAAAAGGAGAACTTTCAGTCAGTCGTTTACCCTCCCCTTTTCTCACCATGTATGACTCCATTTTTTCTGAAATTCCATACTCCGTTTTAATATTCATGTTTCTATCAAAACGATATGTGTCTCTTTCTGCTGCTCATAGTTTGACCTTTTCTTTCCATAACTCATAGCTTTCGATAGCTCAGTCGGTAGAGCAGTGGTCTAGTGATCCGGTGACCCGGGTTCAAAACCAAGTCGATGCGCTAGTACCCTTTGGTAAGGCATTAGTCCTTCGGAGAGGACCTAAAGCCATCGACCGTCTGGTTACTTACTTACGAGCATTTATGCTTTCTTAGCCATCAGGTAAAATAACCACCAGCACATTAAAAATAACCACCACCACTGTTTTGTTTTTTGTAGAGCAACAGCGAGGCATTGTGTGATGAGTGATATCTCCTACCATCAGGTCATTGAAGTTCAAGGGTCAGAGGTCAATATCCTATCGGCCATGAAGCACTTGACAAGCCCACAAGTTGGTAAGTCAAATCAGAGAACGGTGTTTGTATTCACTTTAGGATGATGCTTATCCTTTCTGCATGTGGTCAAAACTTTATTTACAAAGTGAATAAAAGGCTGACAATAGTCGGTTTGTCGTTATCACCATTTCGGTGAAGCATACTTTAATCCCAGCTTATGTGGAATATTTGTTTTCAAACTAAAAAGTCATATAAAAACCCAGAAAAACAGAATTGTGACCATTAGTGAACCGTCAATTACCTTGTATACAAATGGCTATATAATCCATTGTAAATAAGTTTCAGGAGTTTCATTTCGAGTCATTCTTTAAAGGTACTATGTCCCATTTGCAGGCCAAAAAAATGAAAAAGTTAAATTTCAACTGCATTTGAAAGATAGAACTTCCCTATAAAAAAAGGTGGGGCTTGAAAATGTCTTCAAGTGAGAAAATAACGACTATTAGTTGTCAAATCGACTTTAGGGCTATAGAGCCCAAAAGTAATAGTCTTGATTTTCAGACAATTGTACCGAATGGTCATACGTTAGTGCTGCGCAAAGATTCAATCAGTTTAATCTTCTCCATCACAAGAAGTGGGTTATGATGTAGACAAATGCTCATGTACCCTTTACAACTCTTTTCATGTATGTTATTACCAAAGAAGAAAAAAAGCCAGTCAGTCACTCAATACTGACAATAGTGTCTGACAGTGAAGTCTAGCAAGTAAACGGGTTTCCTTGCATAATTTGAATATGAGGACACTGCTAACGTTTAAATTTCACAGATAGGACATACATGACATATTCATAATTCCTGCAAAGTTCTACAGAATTTGAGGTTGGCTGCAAAAGGGACATTGTACCTTTAAAAAGAAATAGGTAAGAATCTTCCATTGGGGATAAAAAATATGTGTACATGCTCCTCTTTCTTATAAAAGAACAAAAAATGATTTATAGTCAAAATGTGCAGTACAAGTATGGCAAGGATGTGCACTTGATTTGTCCCTCAGGCCTAACGATGGCTTCCAGAGCATACCTGCATGGCACCAGACACGGGGAGGTGCTCCTGTATCAGAAGGACACCTACCCTCACGGAGCCATAGGCCCAGTGGACTACCTCTGGCATTGTGAGCTCCATGCCTCCCCTCCTGCTGGAGCAGCTGAGAGACAGGTAGGAGATTCCATCAAATCGGACTTCCAGCATGATGTTATCAAAGGAGGGAGGCAAAAACATGTTGCAAGAATGCAGAGCCGTCTATACACAGAGTTTGGCCAACTTGGTTTCACTGGGTCACAACATGGAGTATATTCTTTTGTTTTGTGCTTGCCCAACAATGCAGTATAGTCACCATATTGTGTCCAACTCGACCCAGGTTGGCCAAACTCTGTGTATAGATGGCTCTGGTTGCAGGAATTCACAATTTTGTTCTCCCCCAACCCCCCCCCCCCTAAAGACACATTGTTCCTTTCCAAACATTGCTGTATTTGCTGTTTGATTCTCTTAGACCTATTCAGACAAGACACAGTTAACTGCTGTAAAAATGTCTTTAGATCAATTGCAAGTGGCAATATTTTTGTTTGGAGGGGTACTTCATGTAGCTGCAGCAAGGCCCCTATATGTACTCATAGCTGCTAACCATTCCTGGACGAACGATTCCTATGTTTTGGTCTTCAGGCTATTGTTTTGAGCCCTACATTCCTCTCTTTTTCTGAAATATACTGTGTGAAATGTATACAAAATTGACTGTAGTCCTAATTTCGTCTTGAGAGAGATTCCTGATTTTTTGTGCTGTGAAGGGTTGGCAAAGTATGTGTACTCACTGCTTTGTGTGTTATGTGAAGTGCACATCTTTTATTTATCGCCGCAGTTTTTCCTTAAGTAGTTTTCTACCTCCTGTCTGAATGTGCCTTTGCATGCTAATTGTTTCCAGGAGTTGAAGAGAGAGGATGGGGTCAACGGAGATGATGAGAAGGTGACGACTGACAGGAGACTCTGGATGTGGGTACATCCTTCCTGCTGGAGGGAAGTCTTGGAGGAGCTGAAGGGAGTGTGTTCTGATTACAATGGTTAGTGTTACATTCTAATGGATATCATTCCTGGGGGGTGTTTCATAAAGAATTTGTAAAGTTACCCATGACTTTACGAACGACTTGTATATGAAGTGCCAGATAGGATGCCCAAATTTTTTTCTGATATTTCCAATAACCTCAATTAAATTATGGCAAAAAATATACTTTGCATTAAAAATGTTTGTTATAATAAGAATGTTAGTCTACATCCGCGCAGTTCAACTTAATAAATAATAATCAATAATGATTGAGCATCCCATTTGGCTTTGCATATACAAGTCATTTGTAAAGTCATGCGTAACTTTACAAATGACTTGTTTAAAGTCATGCGTAACTTTACAAATGACTTGTTTAAAGTCATGCGTAACTTTACAAATAGCTTTATGAAACACCCCCCTGCTTTATGATTGATAATTACACTGGCCGTTGTGCATGAATGCAGAGCCCCTAGGCCAATACAATTTGACAATTGGAAGAAAAAAGCTTTTAGCAAACCCTTCATCATAAGAAAAGCTTTGAAGAATTGCGTGGAAAAATTTTAAGGATCTTCAATGATCCATATACTTTGTAGATTTTCTTTATACATCGATATGACCAGATTTGACTGGTACTGGGACATGCCAACTGCAACACAGCTTGCTCGGATTAGAATGGTGGGTGTTACAGGTAAAAGGGAGTAGGTCTTCAGCTTCATTGTGCAGAAGGCCATAATTCGCTGACACCAGACTTATTCGCAATACCATTAATGGGTGTACAAGTCTGCACCCAGCTAACCTGTAGGGCTATCAAGAAATACCCCCTAGTCTCTTGAAGAGTCTTAGGGCGAGGGAAAAGTATGATAATGACTTTACCATATGGGGGAATGGATGGAAAATGCAAAGCATCACATAAGGCATGTTGGTCATAAAACTGAGGGCTAATCCTTGTGATGGACATTGGGTTAACACCTGAGGGGTGTAGAATACCCCATGAGAGGCCACTCATATTTGTCTTTAAAGATAAAGACCAGTTATGGTCATGCGATTGCATTGTGAAAGAAACGTTGTGGAATCAGAAAAGATTGATCATCTAGCATATAAGTATTGATGTGTACTGCAAGGTTCTGGAATCATCAAAATGATAAGAAATTTTGCTCAGTCTTGGTAAAGTTAAAAGCACTGTACACAGAAAGGTGTATACGGAATTACGCGACACTTGTGCGACACGTGCGCGATATCTATCAGGTCCAAATAGATATAATAATTTACCAAATATATTCTCAGCAAAATTTGTATCATCACGTATTAGTCAAAACATATTCTTTCACATGATTGGTAATACCTGTAAGAGCTTCCATTTCATTTTTTGAGAGGGGGGCGTTTCCAAAACTGATCTTTATCTTTAAAAGGATATAACTCCTCCTTTATGATTGATAACCACGCCGGCCTTTGTGCATAAATGTAGAGTTCTTTATAGACCAATCTAATGATTTGGAGAAAAACCCAACTGAAGTTACTTGTAAATCTTCCTGTGAACTTTCACATCATGAGAAAAGCTTTGAAGAATTATGAGGTAAACTAGATGGAATTTTGACTGCGCGCAGTCGAAAATGATGCCTCCGCCATAGAGCAATTTAAACAAGTTTGGAGTTTAAATCTCCAGTGGTTCTTGAGATATCATGATAACAATCTCAATGTATGGAATTTCATAAGTTGACCTCTGTGACCCTTGACCTGTGACCTACGTGCTCCAAAATCTAATCAGATTGTCTTCCTATGGTAATACACACTATCATTAAGTTTGAAGTTTAAATCTCCAGTGGTTCTTGAGATATTATGATATGGTGATACATACTATCATTAAGTTTGAAGTGAAAATTCTCCAGTGGTTCTTGAGATATCGCGATAACGATCTCAATGTATGGAATTTCATAAGTTGACCTCTGTGACCCTTGACCTTTGACCTACGTGCTCCAAAATCTAATCAGATTGTCTTCCTATGGTGATACACACTATCATTAAGTTTGAAGTTTAAATCTCCAGTGGTTCTTGAGATATTATGATAACAATCTCAATGTATGGAATTTCATAAGTTGACCTCTGTGACCCTTGACCTTTGACCTACGTGCTCCAAAATCTAATCAGATCGTCTTCATATGGTGATACATACTATCCTTAAGTTTGAAGTTTTTACATCTCCAGTGATTCTTGAGATATCATGATAACAATCTCAATGTATGGAATTTCATAAGTTGACCTCTATGACCCTTGGCCTTTGACCTACGTGCTCCAAAATGTAATCAGATTGTTTTCCTATAGTGATACACACTATCACTAAGTTTGAAGTTTAAATCTCCAGTGGTTCTTGAGATATCATGATAACAATCTCAATGTATGGAATTTCATAAGTTGACCTCTGTGACCCTTGACCTTTGACCTACGTGCTCCAAAATGTAATCAAATTGTTTTCCTATAGTGATACACACTATCACTAAGTTTGAAGTTTAAATCTCAAATGGTTCTTGAGATATCGTGCTAACAAACTCAATACAAGGAATTTCATAAGTTGACCTCTGTGACCTGTGACCTTTGACCTACGTACTCCAAAATATAATCAGATCGTCTTCCTATGGTGATAAATACTATTCCCGAGTCTTAAGTTTAAATCTTAAATGGTTTTGAGATATTGTGATAACGGTCAAACGGGACGGACGTACGGACGTACGGACGGACAACCCGAAAACATGATGCCTCCGGCACCACCTTCGGTGGCGGAGGCATAAAAAAGATTTCACAGCTTTTTTGGTCTTTCATAAATCATTTTCCTTATGCAACGATATGACCAGATCTGACTGGTACTTGGGCATGTTTATGAAACCCTATGCAGAAAGCTCTGAAGCTTATCCATTCTTTAAACCTTTTGCTATATCACATTATCTATCAGGTCTGATGATCAGGGTCCTGTTTCATAACAATTGTTACAATAACTGTTATAAGCTATTGAAATCATGGCATTTGATTGGCATAGAGCAAATTTGTCCCAGATTTGTATATATTTTTTATTGATAACAAATTTTGTGAAACAGGCCCCGTATCAGGGTGAATTGGCTCCACATGGGAGAGTCCTCATAACTTTTATTTAGCGAACAATTTTAATATCTATGGCATAATCTTCAGTGAGTTAAAGAGAGGTGGTAAAACATAACAATCGTGTCGCTTTTCTTCATCTTGCAGTGTCTATAACACCCCTTGAAGATGAGCTCCTTAGATTCCGTCTCCAAGGACCCCTGGCCCATCCCATCCTCCTAGATGCCCTCCAGGTTGCTATGGTAACGCCTCATGATAAGCAAGATGGAGGAAGTGAGATGTCATACTGGTGGGAGCAATACTATGAGGTAAGCAAACGTATGTATGCATCTTGATACCGAATATGTCATGAAATGAGTGGAAGGGTTCTTACTGGAGGCCTGTTCTAAAAGACATAGTGACAGCATGCCTTTCAATAAAAAGAAAACTGTGAAAATATTTTTTTTTCTCGAATTAACTGCAATCAGTATTTAAGTTTCATTCTTCATTCTATTATTTTCTCACAGTGATAACCGGTATGTGTATTTTTTGCAACCCTCTAGGTATCAAAAGTATTCAATGTAATTTCATTTTCAATGTGGTGTGCATTTGCGAGAAGTAATATCTGCAGAAATATGAAAAGGTTTCCGTAAAGTCAAACTTCTGAGAGGAATACTGATAATTGCAGCATCTTAGTGAAGTAGGTCATGTGGTTACTGTGTTCTAAGGTCCTGGGTTCGATTCCTGGGAGGAGCCAAAAAAAGATTGAAGTGTCAGCTCCTGGCTGGTAGCAACCTGATGCACAGTTAACTGCATACCATAATGTGATGCCCTTAGAACCTACAAAAGATGCTATGAATGCTTGAGAAGCGCTCTGGGAATAGACACTAAAAACAATCAAACGGTTTACTCACATATTCAAATGTTATACATACTTTTTAATCAAAGGTTCTTCGTTGTTTTTGATAACCTGAAAGCTTGCCTGAGACTTGCCTGATATAGCAACATATAATGTATGCAGAGTGGATTCCAAGGATTGTAGTTCATTCATTAATTTTTTTAAATGAAAGACACATCCATAAATTTGAATATGTTAGTAAACCTGACAACCTGTCTATTAAACCTGAGATAATCTTTAAAGTAGTTTCCAAGCTTAACTGGGATGGGATGTGTTGTAATTTCAATTGCCCCTCCCCCCCCCCCCCCTAAAAAAAAAATTAAAAAAAAAAAATTAGTATAATAAAATATATAAACAAATATGCAACTTTCATCAAACAGCATGTACTGGTGAATGTGTTTAAACCTCTTTTTTGTAATTACATGTACAGTTCGCAAACCATTGTCATACACAAAATTTAAAGAAATTAAAGTACAGGGTTATTATATTACTTCTGATTTAGGCATGAAATATTCCACATGATCAAACTTGCATGAGCATGTTGCATGCACCTGTTTATATTGTAGGAGGGATTATTTGCTAATCTTTATCCAAGCATTCAGCACACCAGCTCAATTGCCTCTACATATATTCACTTTGCCAGCTTACATCGTTAGAAAGGCTAATTTCATGGTCTGGTGGAGTAGACAGGCCAAAGATATGCATAACTACTAACTACATCAAAAAGTTGCAATGGGACCTACTATAGCCATGTTCAGACGGGGCTTTAGGCGTAAGTTTTCCCCTGCAGCAATAAATATTCCAAAAATATTTGACTCACACCATTAGTTGTCCATACGCTCTTACTCGGACCAACTTGTCACAGTTAAGTTAACGCGACACCAACCTAGTCTTACTCAGCGTAACTTCTGGAAGTGGTGGCGACCGCACTAGTCAACCTCAACCCAGCTTTCGCATCTAAACCAAAGGATATTTTTCGATTGCAAACAAACACATTTCTAAACCATAAAAATCACTCTAAAGGCATAAAAAAACTTGCATGTGGTATTAAAACACTGTGGCCCGAATTCACAAAGGAGGTTTGTCGACAAACCGAGGTTTATGTGCGTCATACAACGTGTTTTGACATGTTTTTTACAAATCTTGGTTTGTAAAAAACAAAAGGAGGTTTGCCGACAAACCTCCTTTGTGAATTCGGGACTGTAGGTTTGGCACCAGAAATGTTAAATGTTTGGTCATACAACCCTTGTGAAAGGTCACAGATACTCCCGAGTGCCAAGTGAGAGCATCCACACGGTAAACTTACGCTATCCTCTAGTCGTTATTAGCGCGTTACTCCTGGAAAAATTCAGGAGTTAATCCGTCGGTGTATAGGTCGGTGTAGCTAACACGACTATTGGTCAGACGGTCACTACGTTGACCTTTACAAAGACCAAAAATTGCCATCATGTGAACACGGCTATTATCTAAAACCCTTCAACCTATGCCAAGTATAGAGTTTCATTAATACCATGTTACATAACTGAAAAGAAGAGAAACAAAACAGCACCAGATAGGTTCACTTAAATACTTAATCCTCTTCTATTAACTGACAGGGATGAGCAGGAAGTTCTTTTTGTGCTCACCTAACGGTAACCTTACCTTTCACATGATATTGCATGTCCTATTATAACTTTAAAGGCATCGTTTAACAGTTTAAAATCTGAGATGCATGGCCCTACATGTTATCAGTGTCTGTGATATGGTGTAATATTGAAGCCTTAAAAAAATTGTGCTTCAAAATGATCATGAAGTGTCTCAAAGAGTAAAAATCTTTGAGTGACCGGTTTTACCATACCGGTACTCATTTTCCCCAATAGACTCCAGTGTTATAAAAACCGTTAGGAAAACGAAAAATGAAATTTCGATTTCCAATCACAAATATCTTGATAATCAGACAGGTGATCAGCTTGTAAACGTCATGGGATTCCTGGCTGACCTAAAGGTTTATAATTGTGATTGCAGGGTGAGCTAAATCCAGGATTTTGTTTCAGAATCTGAGGCAATGTTACAGAGTCACTTTAAGATTTCCCGCAAAGATACACAACACATGTGTTGATATGCCGTGTTCTGTAACAGTGCATGTTTTATGGCAAAAGTGATGAGCCCCATTTCCTAAATGAGCCCCCCCCCCCCCCCCCCCCCCAAAAAAAAAAAAAGAAGAAAAAGTTAAGCTTAAAGTTGGGACAAGTAAATGATCATACTTACAAGTTTTTCCTTCTGGGCCATGCATATTTAGCCTTGACATTTGAAGCAATTATTGAGCATAGTTTCAACACTTATGTTCTTGTCTCTAACAATAGTGCATCTATATTGATACTTTTTATTTTTCATTTGAGAAACTTCTCTGACTCGAGACATTCCTAAGTTTATTCCCAAGAAGATCAACATTTATACCTTTGTTACTTAGGGGGGTGTGATGGTCATGTAACCGAGAGGTCCAGGGTTCAAATTAATCATTAATCCTCATTACCAAGTCCCTCAGGGAAGACTTAACGCCTTTGAGTCCCTGGTTGCTTACTTACAAGCATACACATGCTTTCTTAGCAGCATGGTAAAAACCAAACCAAACCAAACCAACTAATAATATTGACTTGAGATACAGTGGTTTACAACGTACATGTCCATTTGCTCACAGTAGTACATGGAGCATCCCGGTGTAGATGCAAATGGTTATTTTCCTTCCTTCCAAACTTTTCCCCAGGATGCCACCCACCTGCAGACCTACAAGCAGCAGATGGAGACATGGGCGGGGTTTAGGGAGCTGCAGACGGCCTCTGAGGTACCGACCAACGCCGTGGTGTCGCTGGTCGTCCGAGATTCTCGTGTCCTACTGCCAAAGAAGAGAACTAAAGTGATGGTGGATTCAGATAATCTTGCAGGTGTGGTTACGTGATTTTGATAAAAGGAACAATACATATCAGATTTTCTTGACAGCATTGTTATTTTTTATTCATTTGATATTTTGAATTTAAAACCTGGTGTATGTGTTTGTATAATTGTATTCTTTTGCAAATGATATTGACAGAAAGTTGTCTCATACCTATTGCTCATTCTACTTTTAAGATTTGTGTTTTATTATTGCTCACAAAATATAGTCCAGGTTATTTTTCTTCCAGTAGTTAAAACATCATACCTGTACGTTTTATTTCTCTTTATTCCTGCAGATGAGCCTTCCAATCAGAGAGCTCACAAGCTTCCTGCAGAGACTAGCAACTCGCCTCTCTGGTCTCCAGTGGTCAGAACGTCTGTGGCTGCAGAACAATGTCCAAACCATGAACTAAACCTGCTCAGGTCCAAGCTCCTGGTTCCTGGAACTGACCTGAACCTAGGCCGATCTGAAGCCCGCATTCCGGTCCTACTCCTACATCGCTCTGGGATCAGGACCTCTGTCGGTAACGAAGGGAACGAGAGTACAGGGATGCTGGGGTACAGTGGAGGATGGGACGTTGTGTTGCCACGGAAATGGGGGATGCCTTTCTGGATAGGGTTGGTGTACAGAGGAGCAAGGGCGTGTGGGCTTCGTGAAGCAGGAAAAGTGGCCCTTCATCGCAGCATGCCACGGTTCCCATACGACTACCCTGATTCTGACGCAGGGTGTGACATCAGCAAGTCCATCGCTGATGACCTGGAGCAGACCTTTTTAAGGAAGCCTCCAGCAAAGAGATCAAATCATGCCAAACTTGGAATAGCAGCTCCTTTCTGTCCACCATGGTCACAACTTATCATTGAGTGGGGCCTTAAGGAGACTGGTGATCAGATCTCAGAGTCTGGAGTAGATACTTGTGTGAGTAGCATGCCAGAAGACTGGTATGTGCTTAGGAACAAGGAGAAGCTTGGTTTGTTTAGGACTGTCATGCAAGGGTGGTCCAAGAAGGTGGGAGGAGGAGGAGGCAGAAAGCAAGGCAAGTGGAACACCAAAAGTGTGAAAGGTAGCTCAAGAACAGAAGGCAAGGAGTGTCCTGGCCACCTGTCCTTAGAGCCCTTGACCCAAGTGCTTGTCCCTTCGGAGAAGAGAACCATTGTGTGGGTGGGATTACGTATGGTGACCAGGGGTTTCCCATCCCAGTTTGCGATCATCTGTCTTCCCAGTGCCGCAGACCTGGCTGAACTTGGCCGAAATCCTAACTATGGTGGCCCAGAAGAGCCTGTGCACAAGGAATTCCGTCTGAAGAAGAAAAGGAAGTTGGAGAAAGGGCAGAAGGGGTCAAAGGCCAAGAAGGCAAAGGTCGCCCAAGAAAGCAGACCAGAGCCTCCATCTACACCAGGGGACTTTGGATTTGTGATTGAAAGCAAGGATGAATTTGGAGGTAGGGAAGTGGGGACGACTAGTGAGTTGGTTTCTAGTGAATCAAAGGTAGAGAATTCTGGTTTAATTAGTGCCGTTGCTTTGAGCAACAAGAGTGACACTGTTAGTGTAGCTGCTGATACAACCCTGAAGTTGATAGGTCTCAAAGACTCAAAGCAAGCAACACCTACAACAGGTGTTGATACAAGTAAAACAATGACACCATCAGAACATTCATCCCCACCAGCCTCCACTCATGCTGAAGCAACAGTTAACGCTGCCACCAACACAACTGTTCAGTCGGAAGTAGTAGCTTTCGAGGCATCATCCGCTACAACAAATGTTGAACATTCTGCTACAGCTGTAAGCAAATCACCCGCCACTTGCTTGCTGCCCGCACATCCAGAACTCCTCAAGTCCTGTACCCGTTCAGTCATAGGCTTTGTGACAAACGGAGCACAGTCCTTCAGCTGCGGCAAGGGGATGGGTGTGGGGTTCTGTGCCACACTGGGTCTCTTGAACCTGTTGAGGAACTCACCCAGAGGTCGAAAGCTTGTGGTACTGGTGAGAGACGTCCAGAGTTTGCAGTACAGATTCGCTTATATTTATGTGCCTTCCAGTTAGATTTAATAAAATGGACATTGAATGTGAGGTGGCACAAAGGAATTATATTATATTTTATCTAACAATGTTCATATATTGAAGCTTAGAGATAAAATTGAGTTCTGGGGGGTGCTTCTCAAAGAACCAAAGTCGGACTTAACTCTAAGTTGGACTTAAAAATTATGGAGAGCCATTTGTAGTCTTAACATAAAATATATTCAAAAGCAAAAATTCAAGTATTTTAGACTTTTTATAAATTCCACATCAAGATCATGATATCTACCATGATAATAAAAAATATGAATGATTTGAATCAACATTTTATGCCTTTTAAAATAACTTTTACAAATATTTTCAAGGATGCTAATCGCTTTCCATAATTGTTAAGTCCAACTTATAGATAAGTTCAACTTAGGATCTTTGTGAAACACCCCCAGGTTATGCGATTGCATTGTGAAAGAAACATGGAATCGATCAGAAAAGGTTGATCATCAAGCATATAAATATTGGTGCATACTGCAAGGTTCTGGAATCATCAAAATTATAACAAATTTGGCCCAGTCTTGGTAAAGTTATAAGCACTGTACACAGAGGATGTATATGGGACTACACGAACATGTGGCATAAAAACTGTCCCGATTGTTATGATGTTAGTGTTACATGCCATATTTAGAATATTAAGGCATTTCATTTGAAGAACCATGCTTTTCAGGGAACATTTTGTATCCGATGTTCTTCCACATTTGCATAATATAAACAATGATAACGCTCACAAATTGTTTTTCACTTCTTCCCAGAACTTAACTTCTCTTTAATACAGATCATTATAAAATCACAATTGGAATTTCACTATTTACACCTTTGCTTTTTTATACCATTCATATATTTTTGTGTGTAAATGATCTTTTATTTCATTTTAGTCTTAGAGTTCTAATGAGGTGAACTACTACTGTATGGTGTTTCAAAATTTCTCAAACTTTTGCTTCTTTTTTCTACCTCCACGAGGCAAGCAAGATATTTTGGCGACATTCTTTTGGATCTTAAATTGTATCTGGGATATCACTGGGGATAAGACTCCATTTACATCAAACTGATCGATCATCAAAGTATCCCTCTTCACCATTGATTATTATGAACATGGACTCCTTTTGCACCTACTGTAGGAGTATGGTAATTATTTCATTGTTAATGATAGGTGAATGAGGGTCTATTTCTGTAGATAAGATTGAATAATAAAGCCTGCTTGGAACCTAAGTCTGACTTAAGTCTTGTTGATGTTGTACTTTCTCCCTACACCCAAATTATTTGTCTAGGTGATTAATACACTTTTGATTACCAAATATTTAAAAAAGAAATATGAGGAAATTAAAAAAGAATATGTGTAGGTCAATATATGAATTAACTTTTGTGAACAAAAGTGTGAATCAAAGATTATGTCTAATTTTATTAAATGAAATCAAGATTGACTTGTTTCTATTAAATTTTTGTCATTTCTGGATCATGTGATCAAAGCATCTATTTTTGTTGTTTCAATATATGGCTAATGTGAATCTCTTTATTTGAGGAAGTTGTAAGCATATTGAATTAACAACAAGTCGTCTGTTCAGAGCCAGAAGGGTTTAAATTTTGTGTAAAAATTTGGTGTAAATGTACATCTTGCTCTTAAAGGTAATACAAAGTTTTGGTATGGGGTTATGAATTTGGTTCAAATGAACATATTGTAAGCATATGCGATCCTACAATATTCAGTGATCGTTGTCGGGGTTGAAATCGGTTCTAAAGTAATGAAATTGTAAATAATAAGCTCTTTATGTTATAAAGCTCCCTCTCAAGGTCAACATTAAATTAAGCTATAAAACGATGTTTCTTGACTAAAATCGACTGATTAGTTGTTCCCGTTTGGACATTATGTATCACAAGTACATATTCTGAGATTTCCATGGCCGCAGCTACTATTGTACGGCCGTAGACGCTATTTGAAATTTATCAAAATTTACCAGGAGCACCAGTAAATTTTTATATTCAATTTTTCTCGAAAGCAGAAGTGTTTCAGGGGCTAAATTTTCTAGTGCTTATAATACATCTACATGGGCATCCAAATATATCAAAATTGTAAAGAATCACTATCTACCCAACTTTTAAAAATTCCCCAAACTTTGTATTACCTTTAACATATGAAAAGTAACTTAACCCCTAGACCTCTGGAACATGGTGGCTCTTGAATTGAACCTAACAGGAGTAAATGTATTCAGTAGTTAAACGGTTAAGAGCAATCCAAGTACATGAGTGAAGTTTGAAGAAAGAACAAGAGATACATGTAGATAGTGTGAGAGGATGAAAGAGAGAGATATGAGAGAGTGAGAGAGGGATAGAGAGAAAGAAAGAGAGGGAGAGAGAGGGTGGCAGAGAAAGAGAGATGGGAGGAAAACGAGAGAAAGAAGGGATGACTGGTAGAGAGAGGAAGATAAAAACAGACAATAAGTGAGATAGAGATGTAGAGTTCAGAGGAAAGAGAGGGAGAGAAGGATAGAGAGAAGAAGGGAGAGAGAGAGAGAGAGAGATGGGGGGGGGGGGGGGGGTGTTACACCCACAAATGTAATAACGCCCACAAATGTAATAACACTTTACCCACAAATGTAATAATTTTCACCCACAAATGTAATAATTTTGAATCACCCACAAATGTAATAATGACTTGACCCACAAATGTAATAAATTTGAACGGATATTTTGTCGAATTTGTTCAAAACTAAAAGCCTGTAATAAAGCATGGGTATAGCGCGCAGTCTTTACTCCAGACACGGTTATTTCAAAAATTTAAAAAATCTTCAAAACTAATACCCCATAATCCTTTTCCTGTGGAATAACATGAGAATCGAGCGTAGTCTTTCCTCCAGACCCGGTTATTCAAAAGTAAAAAAAAAAAAAAAAAAAAAACTTTTAAACTAAGACCCCACCATCTTCCAAATAAAGCATGGGTTTAGATCGTAGTTTTTCTTCAAGACCCGGTTATTTCAAAACTTTTTAAAAATCTTTAAAACTAAGACCCCATCATCTGGTCGATTCAAAATTATTACATTTGTGGGTAAAGTGGTAATTACATTTGTGGGTGTTATTACATTTGTGGGTGTTATTACATTTGTGGGTAAAGTGTTATTACATTTGTGGGCGTTATTACATTTGTTGCCGTTATTACATTTGTGGGTGTAACAGGGGGGGGGGGGGGGGGAAGAGAGGAGAGAGAGAGAGGAGAAAATGGTTTCTCATTGAAACATGTACTATAGGCACCTGTACATAAAGACCACTTCTCTTGTCTCCCTTAGGTGGTCTTTATAGACTGGTTTCACTGTACATGTCTTTTGTTAAAAAAACTAAATTAATTCAAATGCATAAATGATGCAGGATAAAGAATGAAAGAGCGGAGAAGTGGACAGAAGCATATGAGAAGAAAAAAAAATGTTCATGAACTGAGAGAAAAAAAATGAATAAGGGAAATGGCAGCCATGAAGAGGGAAAGAATAGCTAGAAAAGATGAATGCAAAGAGAAAGCAATGAATACGAAAAAAAAAGGAACTCTTAAAACAAGTCTGCAAAAGAAGAAAAAATACAAAAAAGGGAAGGTGAAGTGTAGAATGACAAGATAAACTTGGTTTAAATTATACACTTGTAAACAAATAAATGCGCATTAAAATCATAATTTTATTTCTATGAAAGTTATCACAGTTGCTAGCTTAATATACAATGCATGCAACTGACATACATGAATTTGTAAGATAATTTTCATTCATTTCAGAATTTATGTTTTTACAACTTTGATAACATCTTTTATTTACAATGTCTATGAACATGATTCTCAATAATGATAACCTTTAAAACCTCTCCAATATTTCATCTTCAAGTCTATGGAAAGCAACAAGTGACAAAAGAGTCTGAGATACGGTTACGTTTTACCAAAACTACAAGATCTAATCGTATAAATGCATAACAACAGTTTTGGGCTTGCCTTTCAACTGTGTTCAAGTGGCAATTAGTTTGTCAAGAAAGTTTGTCTTGACAAGTTTTTCATTTGACAGATTTGACAAAGTTGGTTTTAAAAATAAACTGTATCACAATTGTCCTACCCAAAGATAACAATGTAAGAAATGCATACGCTAACAGATATTGTTACAAATTCTGACCCAATTTGTTAAAAAATAGTCTCTCTATAAAACATGCCTACTGCGAATGTAAAAAGCCACATACATGGATGGCAAGAGCGACAGTAATTAAAGCGATACTGAACGGATGAACTACATGTATCTGCCCTAGCCTACTGCTAATGGCACAACGCTATCACATGGTCAACTGGCTAACAATGATCAACCCGATACGGACTTCGCAGACAGGAGGACTCGATGCGGGAACCAACAGTGCAGCGAGATACAAGAACATACGGCTACAGCTGACCTGAGATGGCGCTAAAGGGATTCAGCTGTAGTGCTTCTAGTTAAACTAGTACAGTGTGGCTTTAATATGTGAAAGTTTACATTTGGGTATTTTAAGATAATATTAATTTGAAAATATTTGCGTACAAAAATAGGAGAGTACATACAAAATCAATGGGACAATATGAATTGAAGGTATTATAACTGTATAACTGTAGATTTAGATTTATGAGCAGATTTGTGATCTGAAAATTTAAAGTTTTTAAACACACTTCCGGAGAAGAAACATACATGTACATGGGGCAATTCAGTTTGTCTTAGAAGCCAATGAATCCTTTGTTCAGAGATTAAAGGGCATAACTCTGTCTTAATTTACACTGTATAAATCAATATCCCCTTCTGGGTCTAAACAGACAAAATTCATAGCAAAATATAAATAATATTACAAAATCATAGAACTTCACAAAACATAATTCTAATGTATCTATTGGATTGGCAAATGGTTGGAAGGCGTGGAAAGACTAATAATATTATTGACATACATGTGTAATTTCGTTGTAAAGCAAAAATTATAACAGAATACTATAACAAATCAACAAAGTATACAACCAATATGAATGTGTAGCCTACGATGAGACTTTCATGTACATGTAGTGCATGTAATGCTATAAACATTTTACAAAGTACATGTACATGTATCACATGATTATGAATACTTGGTCAAGAATTAATAATATGATTAAATTTGTAAGCGTTAAATTTTGTCAACTACCCACATTTTCCAAAGCAAATATACATTTATGGATCTTCCTGTACTTAATAACATTAATAAGGCCTTTTTAATTGTGTCGACTAGAACGCTGTTCACTTCCAGAGTATGTGTTTACTCGGGTAGTCGACACCCCTTGTTTACTTTCAAAACTTTCAATTTCAATCAATGCACGATCGCTGCACTAGTGAACAGGACGACATCATGTGATGTTTTCATCATGCACTTTGAATGAGCTCGAATCATGTACCAGTACACATCTAGCTACAGTAGGTATGGACTATCATAACCACATGTACAGTACATGTAGAGGGCAGCATTGCAGATTGAAAGTGACCGTCAAAAATGAAGTGGACATTTTGTTGATTCTGGTATTAATGGACATGATAGACAACGCAATGCATGCACGGATTGCTAGAATGACGTCACGTTGCAGTTCACTATTTCAATGTGACAATCGAAAAAAAGCCCTTAATGAAATATCATGTTACAGTATCTAAGATTCAAATGCTATTGGCATCATACACAGGGACATGTATCCATGAAAATTTGTAGATACATGTACCATCCTACTCCACAGAATGTGTGATTGCCAAAATATTTTATTCACTTTTATTGTAAAATATATAATTTATTACATTTTCATAAATTTGCTACTGTATCTGGGGTTTCAAGTGCAGCAGGTTTTTACCTTATTTATGCATTTAATAATAAAATGCACAACTCAATCCAGGCTTTAAGTAGAAAGTTACAACATGAATATGGATTTTGATTAATAATGCACCAAATTCCATTACACAAATGACAAAATGCACACTGACTGTATACCAATAACTAAATGCAAGTAAACTGCATACTGTCTACAGTTTTAACATGTAGGATACATTCTATTACAGAAGAGGCAAACATACAGTGTACATACAGACATTATTTCTGTCCAGTCGCCTCTTGTAAATGTCTGGAAATGTTGAAAAATACTTTTTGTTTTATCGCCACCTCAACTCAAAAAGGAAAAAGAGTGATGAGTAAATTGAAGATAGTTCTTGCTCATAATTTTCATAACCATTTTCTTAGACCTCACACCATCATACTGTACATGTAACTCTTTGAAAGCATGGACTATTCTTAAAAATCTGTTTTATGTTTTTTGTGTATTTGTAATCTTAAAAATTCACTATATTTTTTTCTTTTACTAGTAAAGGTATCCAGTAGTCATCTGTTTTTCTTCTATATAACTACCCAATGGACAAGTAAATGAACTAACTAGGGGAATGATTAATGTATTTTGTTCAAGTTGGGGAAAACACAGCTAATTTCATATTCGATGATATACATGCACATGTACATGTACATGCAATAAGTTTCTTTATAGGTAACAAAACAGCTACACTGTATACTTCATGGAAATATACATTGTTTGCTTGCCACAGCTAAAATATGTGTAACGTTAAACAGTCATAGCGGATTCCATGTACATGTAAGGTGGGTCGTACTCCACATGTATGTTTGAATAAACTACTCTCTGTACAGTTTGAATATTGAAGGAAAAAAATATGAATTCCATGCAAAATTTAAATATGCTAAATGTCTTTAACCCATTTCCTACTGGAACCAGGTAGCCTCTGTATTGAGCGTGTGGCAATGAGAGAATTCAGTTGTCAACAGGTTAATGTCTGTTTGCCCTTGAAGCTGTTTCATGTGTGTCCTCTCCACACTATCATTGCAAAGTACATCCTTCCCAGTGCTAGCACAGCCCCACACACCGTACACAAGATCCCCGTGAAGAAGAGTCCGTACGAGATCCCCGTCTTCGCGCTGCTTGGCAAGAGAAAGCTCTCCCCACCGATAAGGGGGAGATTGAAACCGGCTGGGAACATAACGATGGCAAGACAGAAGAGTGACCACGACGCCAGGCCGAGATACTTTGGATATCTCCTCAGCTGTGGCATTTTGTCCGAGAGCGCGATCATGACCATGCCGATAGTCAGCGCGAGAACACCGAGGAGGATGAGGATGGCTGCGAAGATCCACGAGACCGGTCCATCCGGCGGGTAGCGGTAGTTGCACTGCATGGGCCGACCATGGATCTGTTGGCAATGTTGAAGTAGTCCGAGACGGAGGTCTTCACGCTCCGCCGATACGACCCATTCGGGAAGGGCAAGGCTCACCACTGCCAGAGCCACTGCAACAAAGTATAGCACCCCTGCAGCTTTTAAAAAGGAATCCATGGTTGCAATGAGTTGTTGATTCTGTCTATTCCTAGAAGTTGTCTTTACTGTAGGACCGTTCACATCGGTCGAATTACCACAACATATAATTACTCCTTGAAAGTAGACATCCTGTGTGTGCTTTCCATTTTCTGCTTGTATGAAGAAAGGCTCCTGAATGCGACTATTTTGGGCTCACTGGTTCTGTGCTATCTATTATTGATCCATATCTGTGGAAGGAGAGTATCAAAGATAGTTACAAATATCAGAGGAATAAATGATAAATTGTACACAGTACATGTAGATATATCAGAAAGAATCCATATTATTTATGCCTACTTATTATAGCATTTAATATTCCATTAAGATTTCCAAAATCAAGCATGAAAAGAAGTGAAACATTATAAAGACCAAAAACAATGACCCCAACATTACCCAGTGACACACTTTTCTTTGGAAATCATTATTGGTTTCTCAGTAGATCATAATCATTGTGTACTTGAGAGGAAAAAAAATTGGACCTCACTCACACTACTGAGTATGAAGGGGTGACCAAAGTTCGCGGACATTTTAGAACATATTACAAAATGTGATATCCGATTTATGATTTCTCATATTTTACACAAATTTATTCATTTAAATAATAACCAAATGGACGGCAATTTTTTTTTATTACAGATTGATTGAACTACAAAATTTATTGTTGAAGGATTTTGGAGATATCGCGATCTAAAAATTCGATGGTCGATCGTGCGTGCGCGCTGCATCTAAAAAAAGTCATAAAAACAACAAGACCTAACTTCACGCACGGGGGTTTACAGTTGATTTATCAAAAAATGTGATCTATCAAAAATAAGGTAATATCATAATTTGCGAACTTTGGTCACACCACCATACTGTCACTGACTGCTAATATTTGTGCTAACAGTTAAACACTAACCACTTAAGACAAAATCCTATTTTTGGGACTCTTTACTTCCTATTTATTATCATTTCTTGTTTAAATCATGAAGCAAATATTCTTATTATTTAAAGGGAAAGTCCACCCCCAAAATAAGTTTGTTTGGATAGAGGCAGAATAATAAGAAAATCAGGTGAGTGAAAGTTTGAGCAAATTCTGAATGAAAATAAGAAAGTTATGAATTATTGAAGTTGTGATCAATCAAATACAAATTGGCAACTCTGTGACTTATTATACGACCTCTCCTTCATTTGCTTTGTGCATAATATTCCATAAAATCATGTTTTCTTCGTTATTGATGACGGAATATATATTTGTTCCTTGCAGGGGGAGTATAGAAACATATTTGCAATTATTATATTTAGGGTGCATGTATGGTTGAAATTTTTCTTGAGGGAAAATGAAAATTTTAGATTTTTTTAGTACTGACTACTGAGCAAATGGAAGTTGAGCTCGCATGATACGTCATAGAGTTGCCAATTTGTGTTTGATTGATCACAACTTCAAAAATCCTAACTTCCTTATTTTTAATCGGAATTTGCTCAAACTTTCACTGACTTGTTTCTCTCATTTTTCTACTCCTATTAAAACTAACTTAATTTCAGGGTGGACTTCCCCTTTAAACAAAAAAAGAATCCCAGAAAAAAATCATGAATTGCCATGACAATTTTCATTTCAATATTTACTGTTTCGGAGGCAGTTATCGACATAACGAGCCAGTTTTCGACCGCATGTACAAAGTCAATAGGAAGCGCGCGCTTCCGCGCTGATCTATAGCACTAGCGGGCGGAGCAGGTATCTTACGCCGGAGCTCCCGGGTGCCCGCCGGGTTGAAAACTAGCACTGCATTGATCGGAAATTGGAATCTGAATTAGACAGAGATATCGTGTGTGCGTTGCGGCGTCCGGCTGCATTGATTTAATACATGCGATGAGACACTTTTGAGCTTGCGACTAGCACAAAATCGGGTTCTAAATCTGAAAAATACTTGAAATAAAGCTTATTTTATGGTACCCATATTTCTTACAGACATGCGTAATTTTAAAGATATTTTACCATGCACCCGACCAATCAGCCGAAAACTGGAGCTGTTCGATTACCCCCTCCTTCACGAAGAAGAATTACACACAAAACTCGTGCATGCGCAATGCGCTCTTCTGTTCGCTCAAGCCCGACTGACGTCATTTTTCATTCATAAAAGTGCTAGCGTCACGATGCTCGTAGTTGATTGGGTGTTTACTCATTTCATTTGCATATTTTCCCACAATGTTAAACCTATGAGTGCTATGATTTCTGCCTGCGACTTCTCGATTACGTTGATATCAAACTCGTTATATTTCCATCCTGACTTCGATTTTTGAACAATTTTGACAGTGCTTGAGTTTGGAAACATTTTTACCAATGGCACCTTGCCAGCGGCCGCCGCTCACCCAGGCACGGGTAAGCGTCGACCCAGACAGATTTTTTTTATTTTTTATTTTTTATTTTTTTGCGGCTGAATATTCGGGTACAAGAAATCGTATACCGGGGAGTTTTCAACCGTACGGGTACTCCAGCATTCGACTACACGTCGCAGCCCTAATGGCTATCCATACTAGTCAATGGCAAATAGCGCGGGGACAACGTGGCTAAAGCTGCAAGTTGCGCATAACATGCGTACGCTATGCATACGCTTGCATATCGCGCGATTCAGCTGTTTGGCTAAATTTAGCAAAACAACATAACTCTGCGTGTACGTCTTTTTCGTCGATTCTGATCAAAATGCTATGGATATTGCAGCATTTCGAAGGGGCTGTATCTTTTGATAAAAACATCGGTGAGACTTGAAATTTGAAATGTATTATTCTGATTACATTTTAACTCAAATATCAAACAAAAATGGTGAAAAACGATCCCAAATTAAAAATTGAAAAATCGTTCAGACACCCTACCTTTAGATCTAGGCTTTACTCTACTCTCTAGTCTAGACTCTAGAATCTACTGTATTTCAATTTTCAATCACGATAATGCCTTATTTAGTAAGTAACATCTCATACCATAAACCACCCCATGCTTTTAACAAAACTATCACCTCACTCAGATCTAGGCCTGGGTCCTATTGATACATAGACCCTAATGCACAAAATCAGCTGTTGTGCAAATGCACGCAATGCAATGGCAATGCATTTACCTCCGCGCCGTGCACACACATAATCACCGATCACAAATCACAGACACAGTTCGGTTCAGCTCTCAAAATACAAACAATTAAATCGTGCTTCTCGTAGTTTATACACAAGATTGCTCTAGATGTCCGAAGTAAATCACACTAAAAAGAGATTCTCCGCATGCAAAAGCCCTTGATTAACTCACCATTTTGATAAAATTCTACAAAGAATGAGTTGTTTTCACATTCAATAATCGCTTCTTAACAGGATGGGTAGGTAAACATTACGTGAATTTAGTGAAAAAGCATCTGCTCACTTCAACCAAAATGTAATACAGTTGATATGGACTACAAACTAAATGATGTAGATTAAAATCTGTGATGGTTTAAATGAAAGGTAGCCTAAAAAAAGAAAGAAAGAAAAAAAAAGATACATTCGGGACACGATTTTTTTTCTTCTACTATTTAATTTGTAAAATTATTGGAGGAAAACGATCTGCATTCTGCCATATTTTCATATATCTAAATGATATTTGCAAAACATGCTGGTTGAATTTAATTTTCTCGAAAACAAACAGAATAAAAAAAAAAAAAATCGTCGGTTAAACTTAATTCTTGTGTAGGCGTTTTTCTTTGTTGGTAGATCTATGTTGTTTATTTGCCATGGTTCCATTGTGAAATACTTTAATGAAATAAATTTATTAAACCAATACATTTTAATTGCGTCTCTTAGAAAATTTAAGATTCAAGCTTTTATTAGTGTTTGCTTGAAATATAATGCACAATTATTCTGTAAATTGTCAGTTTTGTGCTTTTTTTGTTGTATGTCTTAATAGTTTTTATTATTTATTATTATGATTAAATAAATAAATAAATTTATTAACTTAATTATCTATTCATTTATTTTTATTTTTTGTTGGGGGGGGGGGGGTATATCTTTCCAGCTTACTTCCTTGGTACCTAACAACTATTCTGAAACCCCGGTGGGGTCACTCCCCTGCAAAGAGTGACACGTATGACCGTTACCACCAATGCATATAACCCCCTTTTTACGTCAAAACAAGGACAAAATCCTACTTTGGAATACCCCTATTTATAAGATAGTAAGGACACTTTCGCAAATGTACCCCTTTTTTTACCATATTTAAAGGGCAAGACTCGGCTCCGATAATTTTTCTTCCCGGTTTTCTCTTTTCCCTTCCCGGTTTTCTCTTTTCCCTTTTCCTGACCCCTATTTATCAATTTCGGGGACACCTGCATGTGCACCCCTATTTTCTTTACTTCAAGGACTATTTTGTCCGCGGACATTGCTTGAAATGACCCCTTTTTCCGCGATTTTGGTAATGGTCATGCGGTCCGGAAGTCACATTGAGTGACCCCACCGGGTCTGAAACTTTTCAAATTAGCCTTGATCTTCTTGTCACTTGCCTCTTTGAAAAGAAAAAAAAGTATAAATTGTAAATAAAATAAAAAGATATGGAAAAGGTAATACCCCCCCCCCCTAATATTCATTTAATCAAATAATCTTTCATCTTCTGGCAATCTTCCGAACAACCAATCAGTGATGCATCAATAAACAAACTGTCATGGAATGACTCTTTTCTTGTTCTGAAAGTTATGTTTAAGACTTGTGACGAGACTAGAAGAAATAGTTCGGAGAAGAAGGGGAAGACGATAGTTGTAGCAACCATAGCTCACTCACCTAATGGCCTTGAGAGAAATGCGTCCTCCTAAGGTCCAGAATAGGTGCCTGCATGATAACTGGTTGCTCGACTGTGCTGAAGAGGGTGAATCCTCCCGCCGCACACATATTTGTAATGTGCGGATGAATATCATTTTAGAGATAACGTGATGTTGTTGTTGTTGTTGTTTTAGTTTTAAGGGCGTGTGTCATTCAATTATGAATATTTATGATAAGTTCATGATTGTTAGTCTCGTTTTAGGGCTTGAGAAAGTTTCTTGTTTGTGTTATTGATTATTCTTTTGTCTATGGTTATGCATTTATGCTTCTTTAAAGATTTGTGGTTTATCAAAAGTTGGCATATTATTATAACTATAAAGTTTAGAATTACTGACACAAGAATGGAACTTGAGTATATGTGGAAATTGGATTTCTAAGTGTTAAACGTATTGCAAGAACATGTATTTATAGTGTTTTCATTTGTTATATTTTGCAGGAATTATCCAACACAGTTGTTGAATTTTCTCTTCACTTTCCAATGATGGTCCACGACAGTGTCACAATAAAGGAACCAACATGAGATAAACGGATGTCTCCTTTGTTTCATCATTGAATTGCAACAACGTGTTTAAACTAGAAGTCACATAAATCCTTTGAGTCCGTATTCCATCACACAAACAATTCAATTAATTGATCGCTAGAAAACAAATAATCAAGCAATATCCAAGTTGAATAATCTAGTAATCAATGAAGAAATGGTTGAATAAATGATTGATTGAATTAGTCAACAGCAATTACATCGATCAAACAATCGATCAACAAGCCAACCAATCAATAACCAACAAATCAATCAATAAACCAGGCAATCAATCAACCAATCAATCACTCCATCAATCAATCAATCAACCAACCAATCAATCCATCAATCAATCAACGAACCAATCACTCCATCAATCAATATCAATCAATAACCAACCAACCAATCAATCAACAAGTCAATGAATAAACCAACCAATCAATCAACCAATCAATCAATCACTCCGTCAATCACTCCATCAATCACTCCATCAATCAATCAACCAAACAAATCACTCCATCAATCAATCAATCAATCAATAACCAACCAATCTATCAATAAACCAACCAATCAATCAATCAATAAACCAACCAACCAAAAAATCAATCAACCAATCAATCAATCAACCAACCAACTAATTCATCAATAAACCAACCAACCAATCACTCCATCAATTAATCAATCAACCAACCAATCAATCAACAAACCAACCAACCAATCACTCCATCAACCAATCACTTCATCAATCAATCATTCAACCAATCAATTAATAAACCAAGCAATCAATCAACCAATCACCCCATCAATCAATCAACCAACCAATCAATCTATCAATCAATCAACCAACCAATCACTCCATCAATCAATCAATCAACCAACCAATCAATCAATAAACCAACCAACCAACCAATCACTCCATCAATCAATCAATCAATCAATTAACCAATCAATCAATTAACCAACCAACCAATCAAAAAACAAACCAACCAACCAATCACTCCATCAACCAATCACTTCATCAATCAATCATTCAACCAATCAATTAATAAACCAAGCAATCAATCAACCAATCACCCCATCAATCAATCAACCAACCAATCAATCTATCAATCAATCAACCAACCAATCACTCCATCAATCAATCAATAAACCAACCAACCAATCACTCCATCAATCAATCAATTAACCAATCAATCAATTAACCAACCAACCAATCAATCAACAAACCAACCAACCAATCACTCCATCAACCAATCACCCCATCAATCAATCAATCAACCAACCAATCAATCCATCAATCAATCAATCAACCAACCAATCAATCAATAAACCAACCAACCAATCAATTAATCAACCAACCAATCAACAAGTCAATGAATAAACCAGCCAATCAATCAACCAATCAATCACTCCATCAATCAATCAATCAAACAATCAATCAAGCAATAAACCAACTAATAAACCAACCAATCAATCAACAAGTCATTGAATAAACCAACCAATCAATCAACCAATCAATTACTACTTCAATCAATCAATCAAACAATTAATCAATCGATAAACCAACTAATCAACCAACCAATCAATCAACAAGTCAATGAATAAACCAACCAATCAATCAGTAAACCAACCAAACAATCACTCCATCAATCAATCAATCGACCAACGAATCAATCAATCAATCAACCAACCAATCAATTAATCAACCAACCAATCAACAAGTCAATGAATAAACCAGCCAATCAATCAACCAATCAATCACTCCATCAATCAATCAATCAAACAATCAATCAAGCAATAAACCAACTAATAAACCAACCAATCAATCAACAAGTCATTGAATAAACCAACCAATCAATCAACCAATCAATTACTACTTCAATCAATCAATCAAACAATTAATCAATCGATAAACCAACTAATCAACCAACCAATCAATCAACAAGTCAATGAATAAACCAACCAATCAATCAGTAAACCAACCAAACAATCACTCCATCAATCAATCAATCGACCAACGAATCAATCAATCAATCAATCACACAACGAATCAATAAACCAACTAATCAAACAACCAATAAATCAACAAGTCAATGAATAAACCAACAAACCAATCAATCAATCAAAAAACCAATTTATCAACCAACCAATCAATCAACAAGTCAATGAATAAACCAACCAATCAATCAACCAATCAATTAATCACTCCATCAATCAACCAACCAATCAATCAATAAACCAACCAACCAATCACTCCATCAATCAATCAATCAACCAACAAGTCAATGAATAAACCAACCAATCAATCACTCCATCAATCAATCAATCAATCAAACAATTAATCAATCAATAAACCAACCAATCAATCACTCCATCAATCAATCAATCAACCAACCAATCAATCAATTACTCCTTCAATCAATCAAACAATTAATCAATCAATAAACCAACTAATCAACCAACCAATCAATCAACAAGTCAATGAAAAAACCAACCAATCAATCAACCAATCAATCAATCACTCCATCAATCAATCAACCAATCAATCAATAAACCAACCAACCAATCACTCGATCAATCAATCAATCAACCAACCAATCACTCCATCAATCAATCAACCAATCAATCGATAAACCAACCAACCAATCAATCAATTAATCAACCAACTAATCAATCAACAAATCAATCAATCACTCCATCAGTCAATCAATCAACCAATCAATAAACCAACCAACCAATCAATCACTCCATCAATCAATCAATCAAACAATCAATCAATCAATAAACCAACCAACCAACCAATCACCCCATCGATCAATCAATCAACCAAACAATCAATCCATCAATCAATCAACCAACCAATCACTCCATCAATCAATCAATTACAACCAATCAAAGTATAAACAAACCAACCAATCAATCAACAAACAAACCAACCAACCAATCACCCCATCAATCAATCAACCAAACAATCAATCCATCAATCAATCAATCAACCAACCAATAACTCCATCAATCAATCAATTACCAACAAATCAATCAATAAACCAACCAACCAATCAATCC